TTTGTATTGCCAATGAACAAGGTGGATGTAAAAATTATGTAGGCTACAAAAGCCATATTTACGTGAATTGGAGTTCAAAATGTTTACGAAAACCGATGTTTTGTCTGTTTCTATTAAATGTCGTCAGTAAGTTGGTGGTTTTGATAGTCCAAACAAACACATCTTTAATTAAATATTTGTAGTTTTTGTAATTACGATTTTTAAAAGTGATTATTTACCAGTGGCTTTTTCAGTAACACGAACAGCTCGTTAAAAACGAAAAATATTGTTTGCAAACAAAACTATATTTAATCTGAAATTATTTTTAACAGTTCCTTTACTTTCGCCGTTGTAAAATAAATGTTTTGATTTATCATTACACCAGTTATTCTAATTCCACATCCCTTAGTAATCCGAACACTTCGTCAAATATTCGAAATTGATTGTACCATCAGAAACAAATCATTCCCACTAATCCGAACCTCGGTTATCCGACGGTAGGTAGCCGATGTCAGGGTGTGGCGGCGCCTACTACACTTGTCGACCTTTGCTGCCTCATTTGAATAATACTGATTTACATGCGACAGACAAGCTCCCAGCACACATCCCTCCATCTACAGGTGAACACTGAACATAACAGGTGTTCGGTTAATCGGATCCTGTTTCTTCAAGCAGCGTCAGGAACTGCGGGCTGATGTGTTTATGATTGGGCGATTATGATTTTGAATAACAGGGTGTGGTGAACTGATGACTGCTAAAGAACGTTATTGTTTACTCCTCTGTGGATTTTTTCATCCTGGATCAACTGGAGATAAAGGGCTGGACCGTGGTTAATGTGTTTATGATTGGGGATTTAGATTTTAGAAACAGCTGGTGGAGGTGAACTCACGATTACTGGAAAAACGCTAATTTTATCCTTGTGGATTTTGTGGAGATGATTCAACGTTTGTTTAGGTATGTGGGTGCGTTTTGATATTTATTGGAGTAAATTCTCATTAAACCGGACTGTAGGGGATTCAAGTCGATCGATCGGATAAATGAGTACAGATTAAATAAAATAAATCTTATTAGAAGAAAATCAGCCTTTTACCGGAATCAGGCATCCCCTTGTGTACTGAAACCTAACAAACAAATGTCCAATAATTGTACGCAAAATACAAACACTATTGAGCTAAACAGTAACTGAGTAGTTTGCAGTGTATGTCCAACGGGTAGTTGTATGAAATTTGTATAAACCATTGTTAAATAGCTGTCTGTATTAATAGAGGTGTACTGTATGTATTTATTTATTTATTTATCTATTTATACATACTTCACCTACTTTAAACTAACTAACTAAATCAACTAAATTAACCGTTGGTTTTACTCTGGTGTCGAATGCAAACTAACACGCAAATAGTAAAATATACCCTGAAATAAGTCATATATAAATATTTGATAAATAGGATAAATTCCTAAATAGGATAAAAGTCATCATAACATAAACAGATAACACAAGTCTTCGGTACAAGTCTACTTACACAATTCAAAGTCAATAATAATAGCTATAAAGCACGATGTCCTTTATACAATAAAAATAACGCTAGCATCGACACTACCCAAATATGGGGAGGATACAAACAGAAAGAGAAAATACAACGACAAATGTTTAGCCCTCAAATAACGGCGATGACAAATAAATGTCGCCGTTTGTGCTCGGAACCGCGTCCGCCACTGCAACGACCAACATCAACATTGTACCTCTTTGTATCATGCCGTTTATTGTCAACGTGAAACGGCGAAATAGGGAATAAGCTATTACCATCTCGTGGTAAAACATAGACCCGTTTTTTTCTGGGGTTTTTTTTAATAGACCGATTTTCTTGTTGATATCCCTGGCAAAGCACCATCCGTTCAAATATGACCGTTAGCACGATAACTCGAGTAAAAAACTCGAATTACGAATACATTTGGTACAAAAACGTTGACAAATGAGAATTCAATCAAAAATTTCAAATAAAAAGTTTTTAATTCTTTTTTTTTACAGGATGAGTTGTTTTAAGTAGGTTACATATTGTGTCCTCATTAAAGCCTACTAAACTGTCATACATGTAAATAAATGACAGATAAATCAGATCGCCTAAAAGAAATTGATGGTAAAAATAAAAATAAAAACATAATTAAAAAATAAAATATACATTGAATAATATTTATAAATTTTACAATATAGTTTTATAACTCAAATATTGTAATATTATTCCAAATAAATATATGCATTAGGATGTCTTTTTAAAAGCATTAGTACTACAGGACGTCAAAGGTGGTGATTTCAAAGTTTAATCTTTTAGTTGATATTTCAAGCTATACAAAGGGTCAACTGATTTTATAAAAGGTAAAAAACTAATTTTCAAAATTTTTAGAGCTGAAACCGAATACAACATATGCATTCCTACACAAGAGACCGGTGAACTAAACATATAAGACCGATGGAATCGCTACAGCTCAAGTAATTCAGCTTTTCCATCTGAATGGGTGAAAAAACAGAACAAAACACTGAACTTGTTTTCAAGCCAAATAACATTCATGGTTGACATAGCGTTGATTTGTTTTCTGCTTGGGAAAACTCCACAAAGGTTTATACTAAACAACGCCGCGGATTGGACCTGAAAACCAATATACTTCTGTTTGTTTTAGAAGGAATCGATGGCTGTGATAATCAGCTGTATGTGTTTATGGACAGATGTTTATGAAGTGCCGGTATCAGCAAATTGACACATACATAACATCACATTAGATTTTTTGTAGAATTTCATTGGTTTGAGGTGGAAAATCTCAATTATTGCAATAAATTTTGAACAGTATTTTTACAGTGTTAAGAGTTGTAATATTTTGTTCAGGTTTAAAAGAAATAACACTCTAAACATTAATCAAAACTGTTCTAGTAGTTTTTGAAAAAATCAGGTTTTACTGTTATTTTATGGGGTTTTATGGAGAATCACAATTGAAAATAAAAATTTGGAAAATGCGAGGTGCTATGGGTTGGTACCCACAAGCCAAATTTGGTCAAAACCGGACCACAGGTGTGGTCTGTACACATCCACACACACAGAAATCAATTTTTAAAAAAACGTTTTGGGCTCATAGAGGCCCAAAACTAAAAATTGGAAATTTTGACGAAAAAAGGAAGAAAAATATGTACTAGGTGTCAATAAAAGTATTTGAAACTGACTTATCAGTTTTTCCTGTTATCTTGCAACTAATTCAGTCTATTTTCACATTTGTTGGTAAAAATTAAGTAATCAACAATTTGTAATTCAGTACAATAAACCCTATATAAATACAAAATAAACCATCCCTACTTACTATATGTTTGTCTCTACAGTATTTACGATACGATAACTACATAATGAATCGAAGGGAGAGAAGTAACTAATAGATTTCCAATAACAATATTGACATAAACTTATACTTAATTTATATTTATATATTGTGTTATAATTCTGTCCAATAATTCTTATAATCAATCACAACCATGCATGGTTAATACCAAATAAATAAACATAAGCCAAAACATCACTAAATCTCATATTAAATTCTAATTGCCAATCAATGATTAATGATTTTAGCACAATTTGCTTTCAAATGAAACACAAATTAAATTGTGTAACTAAATGTGTTCGCTCCATAGAGGATTGGTTTCTCTTTGACCTAATGATAGCAGCCTGGACAACATGCAGATTGTTTATTGCATTATGTCAGCTTTGTTTCATGTTCAGTAATTGATACTGTTCATCTAGCAATAACTATTACAATTTACATCACAAACTAGCTTCTAATTCAAATATCCCAACAATATGTGTGATGATTGTAAATTATAGTTGTTTAATCTAGCTTAATTGGTAATGCTAACAATCAATGATATCAGTTGATCTCTAATCTAAATGGATTATGTTTCTCTATACAAATTTGTTTTTTAAATTGATTTAAAATTGGTTTATAAACTGTTTTAAACTGATCAGTAGAAAAATATACCAGTAAAAAATATGTAAATTTTGTTGAACTAAATTGAAATTATTTATTTGGCTACTGCTCAAGGGGTTTAAGTTTAGAAGGGTTTCACGAGTTTTGATAAATATGTTTATATTGAAATTAAATTTTTGTAGAATGATAATGTTCAAATTATTTTATTTTTCAATCTTCAAAACATTTAAGCTATGATTGGTTTTTGACTTAATTTTGAGCAGTTTTGTAAATAAATTACTTATTATAGTTTGATAATATTTCCAGTAATAAAAGTTTAAATATGAATATTTTTTACTTTTGTGTTATTGGTGTTATTTTTTTTTTTAAATTTGATAAAAACAATCGGAATCTTGTAAACCCGTCCACAACTAGTTAATTCAATAGAGACATCATTTCCTACTGATTTTATATTTTCACAAATATTAATTTTACGAACCATGAAAACAATACCAACCAAAAATCAAATAACCATTCCGTTTGTAATATATTCCTCACAAGGTTCACTGAAAAATTATGATAGAAAGTTTTTCTCCCTCTTCTTGTCAATAACTCATGTTAAACTTCTCGACTTGTTACCTTCATTCAGTTTATCTGTGAAATTTAATCCTCGTCACTTTTATGAAGCAAAAACAGTCTTTCATGTTGACACTACTTTTCTTGTCAAAGCCAATATTCCTTTAAAACAATGCTTTTACTGTAATAGAACATATTTTATTTCCAACGGCAAGAGAATTTATTTTAGGGAATTGTGTGTCACGTTTTTTCTTTTTACACTTTGGTTCTAGATTTTTTCGAAGTGTACTTTTCTTTCAAGTGTATGTATTTCTTTTATCTTTTTTTAGTGTATATATTGATTAAATTACCACAATGCATGAATTACTATACAGTATTTTGCAACTAGGGCTGAAAATGAGGTTTTACTTGAATTATCTGTCAATAAAAAGGTAATTTATATATTTGCTGCTTTTTGGATCTATTATTTACTTGGTATTTTGTTACATCTAACTTTTTGTTTTCAGAGAAATTCAATATCACCGGCCGAGAGAGAAAAGTACCGACCAAGAAGTCCTGTCGAACAGGAACACAAGAAAATGAAGAAAGAAGAAAAAGACTGCCATGTGAGTTTATTTTTCGGTTTCAATCTTGAATGAATTGATTGTCATTCCTTTAGTATCTGCTCGATCGATGTTGTAAATGTCCATTTTATATTTTATTTGCTGTACAGTTGATGGTAAAGATTGTGTCTAATAGTGTATAAATCAGCTGATAATTTGATTCATTTCAGTGTTTATTGATCATAGTTTTGTAAACTCTTAATTTTTATCCAGGTATATTTTGATTAACTATTTTCAAATTTAGTTTCTGTTACAATTTAATTTGCAATCATCTCCGACAAATTTGTTTATAAAACTCAATTTAATCATAAGAAATAATTAAGATTACAATAAACCATAAACTAAACAGATTCCTTACACATGTTTCATCATTATTCCTTAATAAGAAGTCTACTTGAACTATTCAGTCTATTTATGGACTCAATTGAATTTGTATCAAATATTGAAAACACATATAAAAAGCATTCAATATTTTCTGGCTGTACAATTGAATTTGTAATTAACACAATAAAATATTACAGTAATATAATTACCCAAAGTCATAGAACATTAAAATTTGAAATATTTACCATAACTGTTGGAGTTTCATGTGAAAATCAGTTGCTAATTAAACTCTCTCACTGAGTCCGTAATGCTATTAGCCATGTTTTGTTCTTGTGCATGTTTTAAATCCATCCGCATTTCGCATTTCATTCGTAATCTGCTTAGTTTTTACCCCTCCAGGTTAAACCGGGCTCCGAGAGCCATTTCACACTTGTTCGTTCAAAGGTTTCAAACAAAAGTAGCTTAGAATGAAACTCGTGAAAATAGAAAATCCGGATCAAATGCTCCAGGTTATATGAATGAGATTATATTCAAGAGAATTCTGCTTCTCCAAGCGCTCGGATTACTTAGATGTTCTTGATATATTGCAAATGTTTTGTTGTCTGCATGTATTCTGTATATATTTATAAGTTTATGATTTGTTTTAATGTAGTTTCGTTCCTCAAGCTTTTATTGAGTTCATTATGTTATCTATTGATTTTTTTGAATGTTTAATCTAAATTTGATTCCAAATATAATTTGAGCTTCGAAATCTACTGAAAAAATACATTAAAAATCTTTAACTATATTACTTGCGATAGTTAAAATAATAATAACTTAAATATTATGCACATTTTCTTCCACATTTATTTCTAAGTCAGTTATTTTACTACACAATTGTTACTTTAGAGATTGAAAAAATATTGTCAACTCTGTATGTATATCCTATACAGCAAATATAGAAAGTTTTTGAAAACAATTAGGAGAAATTATTTCAGAACTATAAATTTAGCTTACTTTCACTCCAGAGAGACACAAGTCTAAAACGTAATGTTTTTTCTCTGTTTAGGCGAGTGATGGGGAGAAGAGTGACCAAGATTTGGTTGTGGATGACGCTAGTGAGGTTAGTAGAACCACAAAAATCACCTCCAAAACAACCACAAAAGTTTTATACTAATACTTATAGAATAATGTTTGCACTACCGTAACTAACAAATTGAAAGTAACCACAGCAAGAAAAATACAAAGTACACATTTTATAAAAAAAAACCTAGTCCAAATTATTTTTATTTTCAATTATCTTTATTTTATTGTTGCATGATATGTTGTCTTTTAACTGCATAAGTAGAAAGACTGCTTTTTTGGACTGGACTTTGTATATGTTCTTGCTTATTAGTGTAAGATTTAGATAATTTGATGCTGTATATTTGAATGGTCTCTTGATAGAAATTATTTCCATAGCCTATCTTTGAAATTAAAGAGCCTAACCTATAAGAAGTAACGAAATCAGAAAAATTGAACAAAAAACAGTATGGACAAACGGATGAAAGGAAGTACTTACTGTATAAAGTGTTAATCTCTTGCTCAAAATTCACAGAAATTGTAAAATTATATATTATTTTAAATGGTTAATGATCAAGGTTTGTGAATTACGTTAACCACAACTGATTAATATTTCTGCGTTTCAGGACCCCGTTTCACCACCGAATGGAACGGCTTCACCAAGAGAAAACGGACTCGAGAAGCTAGCACCGAAAAAAGAACACGTAGGACCTCACAGGTATATAATTACTACACTACAGCGCTAGCCATAGGGGGCAACATAAGTTTCATGTAGTGTTAGAGAGTAAAGTAAATTTGATTTACATAAAGGTAGCAGAATAGCTGTAATTTTGAAATCTGGGAGTTGCTTGTTTAATTTACAGAAAGACCAACTCTGGCTCAGTCACATTTTTTCATTTCTACAATATCTCCTACATCAAAATGCACAAAAAAACTCAAGAACTATTAGCACATAGTAACAACATTAACTTGGGTTTTTTAAGATTAAGTCTTAAACGCTTTCAAGATTAATCAGTCCATATCCCTGAAATCTTTGTGAATATGATACGAATCAAAGCCGTCCCTATCCCATTGAAGATCGAGGCGCTAGCCACTAAAAATGCATCAACATTTAAGATAACGTACCAAGATAACATATCCAAACTGGTTAGTTGTGTTTTAGCCTAACTCTGATGTTTTGTTTGTAGCCCAAGAAGTGGAACGTCGTCCAACGCCAGTACGCCATCAACCAAAAAGATGGAGGAGAAGCCTACAACCCCCATCAGTAAATCTGTCACGCCTACAAGCGGGGGTAGCAGTAGTACTGTCGGGGCCCCAGCACTCAAACCTCTAGTCAAGCCCCCCACACTCGCTCAATACCCCCACTACCTGGCTGGGGCGGGGCCTCACGAGCTACAGGCTGCTGGGGCCTACGGGGCCTTGCATAACAACCTCCCTCCCGCGCTCAACAGCTACCCTAGACCACCCCTGGTAAGTCTACGTACTTAAATACAAGAAATTGTACTTACTGAATAGACCACTTGAAGTTCCAGTCAATATTCAAACTCATCATCACACCCTGTAGTAGGTTAAGTTCGCACCATCCTCGGTTATGTTCAACTTCTTCATATTCAAACTTGGTTCCAGAATCTTGTTTTAGTCCTTACAGCTGGTCTGCTGCCTGTAAGAGTACATTTATCAATATGTTATTTTAATATCAAGTTCTAAAATATTCAATACAGTACAAATAATATAGCTTCCAGTTAACTAAGTTGATTATTGACTCCTAATTTTTGTGCACAAGTCGGTAACAGAAGGAGTAAATATATTGGGAGGCAAGAGATCAGTACTGTACTTCAAATAACAACAATTAAAAGGCTTACATAGCTTTTAAGTGGCTTTGTTTTCAATAATCTTTGCCTCAGTGGTAACTCTATGTTGGGTCCACAGGTTGGATATGACCCTCACTCCCAGATGAGGGCACCACTGGGACCAGCACTGGGTGGTATACCTGGAGGCAAACCGTAAGTATACATACTTTGTCTATCATACGTTGTATGTAAGATTTATAAGATCCTTTATTGTTGAAATATCTACTGGATAGCTGAGTGAGAGTGCTTTAGTAGATTACTCCAGTTTGGGAATTTTACTGAAATTTCTCTTCAATATACTCGCTGAAGAAGTCCTCAATATATTGATAAAATAAAATGATTACCTTAATACAACTACAGTTGTTGGTTTGATTAAACTTCAGCAGGCCATTTTGTATTCAACCACATCATTGATGTATTCATACATTGTGGTATGTCAATATATTGTTACATTTTCACAATCACAACAATTGAAACTTAGCATGTAAAATGAAATAAAAATTGATATAACTGATTAAAACTGTACAGGCTGGCCAGCACTGTCTTATCACAGCTACTGACTAACTAAAACTGACTGAGTGACTGAATCATGATGTTTCTTCTTCTCCCCAGTGCCACCTGTATTTCAGTTGGTTTTGTTCTTCTTATTTTATACTTTTTTGATGTGTTACTTGTCAATGTATGTATCAAATATAATATTTGACTGGAAAGAAGTCTAACCATTTTCATTTTTAATGTTACATGGGTTGAGTTTTTAGCTTTGTAGATGGTAAATTCTTTTTTAACCTCAAGCTTAAAACTTTTTTGTGATACTTCAATTATTTCCATTTTATTATCAATAGATGTGTAGTTATTGTGTGATTCCTGTCTATAGTCTAAACAAATTCACTTTCATGGACTTATTCCAGGCAAAAATTCCAAACCTAGAACTTTTCCTGTCATCACAATTCTCATACAATTCCTATAGTTTTCCCAGTTTTCATGGTCAGCTCGTAAACCCTTTTTAATTTTTTTGAACACATAGCTTTTTTTATTTGATTACTACAACCACATCGGGTGAATCAAATTAGATCGACGTTCAGATTTGCAGGGTTTTTATCAGCGCAACACTGATGCACTTGGAGAAAAAAAAAAAAAAACAGTGTTCTATGGTAACCCTAGTTGAGAAAACTTCTAATGAGCATGGCTTTTCTCTAAAACAAGACTAATTCTGATTGCAGAGCCTACTCGTTCCACGTCAGTGCGGAGGGCCAGATGCAGCCGGTGCCGTTTCCGCCAGACGCCCTGATAGGCCCCGGCATCCCTCGTCACGCACGACAGATCAACACACTCAGCCATGGCGAGGTTGTTTGTGCCGTCACCATCTCCAACCCTACCAAGTACGTCTACACGGGAGGCAAGGGGTGTGTCAAGGTCTGGGACATCAGCCAACCCGGCACCAAGAGTCCTGTCAGCCAACTAGATTGTCTGGTTAGTAGTCTGTGGATTGTAAGATCATTGTATTTTGAGGTTATGTTGTGTGAATCGTTGGCTACCTTCTGTGTTCTATTTCTAGGCTATTGGAGTTTACTTAACCTTTTTAATGGAAATGGTCCAAACCCATATTGAAGCAAAACTTGTGAATAATGATTCCAAAAATAAAAACTTCCGTAAACCACTTTCACCGCAAACCGATAAAATTCTCTACTATCACATTAAAAATTGCCATCATCTGTTAATGCCGTTGTTATAAATTAAGTTGCATGACAATACAGTTAACAGCTGTTTGATGGACTTGCATTGAATGTGATTCAATATAACGAGATGCACATAACACTCCATTACGTTCACAATGCATACAAACACATTACACATTACAGTTGGATTGCATATTGCAAGGTGTTACGACTGATTAAACCTTTAGTTGTTGATTCAGCTGATTACCCTTCTAATTGTTTGATGCTTTTACATCTGCTAAAACAGTGTTGAAATGTTTAAAGAAGCAATGTTACAAATTAACCCTGACACTACAGGAAACACTTTTCAGTTTGAACCAATTTGCAATAAAAATGAATAAAAATGCATAAAAGCTTTGGATTCATTTTACTCTGTCATTATCTCAGTTTTACTTGTAGTGTTTACTTGAATTTCTTGAAGTTCTTTACAAAACAAGTTGTGTGTTTTAAATTATGTGTGAAGTTGTTTTATTAATTTTAGCCTTGGTTTTTATTGTTTATTGGGTTTTGTACTTAATAACTGTGATGGATGTGGCTATTGCAGATCATAATTTAAGCAAGTCTTGATTGCTTTTAACACAAGCATTGTACATTATTAGTTATTTAAGTTTACCTAAGCAATTCATTGAAAAAAGTTGTTTTGGAATTGTTAATACAGTATTTCAAGTTGGCCTACAGTAATTATTAGTAAAATAAAAATAAAAGTTTGGTTTTGCTATGGCCCGAATTGACATTTATATTTTTTAGTAACTAAATACAATAATTTTTGGTAGGTATTTGAAAATTCTAAGTACATTCGGAACTTTTGGAAGTCACCAGTTCAGTTATGAGTTGATAATTCAATTTGTTTGAACTGAGCATCCCTTTTAAACCTTAAAAAGTTGTAATGCCTTTTAGAACTCTTGGGTAAAAATTCTAATTAACTATTTGTGTTTTATAGCAAAGGGATAACTACATCCGCTCGGTCAAACTCCTCCCTGACGGTAGAACACTAATCGTCGGCGGAGAAGCGAGCAACCTCAGTATCTGGGACCTTGCGTCTCCCACGCCGAGGATAAAGGCAGAGTTAACGTCGTCAGCGCCAGCCTGCTACGCGCTCGCCATCAGCCCCGACTCAAAGGTCTGCTTCAGCTGTTGTAGCGACGGAAACATCGCGGTTTGGGACCTCCACAACCAGACGCTGGTGAGACAGTTCCAGGGACACACGGACGGAGCGTCCTGCATAGACATCTCCGCAGACGGGACCAAGCTGTGGACGGGAGGGTTGGACAACACGGTGCGATCCTGGGACCTTCGCGAAGGGCGACAACTACAACAGCACGACTTCTCCTCTCAGGTGGGGGGTGATAATTAGTTGCTGGTTTTGACTCCGAGCAAAAACGGTTCTGGACCCAGCCACCAGTTGCGGTTCAATAGCATCAATTAATTATTCTTTCCAACAAGAGGTCAATGTATGATTGTATAGTAGGGTTTGATCCCTCACAAAAAATGTCAAAAGCCTATGGCGTAAATTAGCACAAATCCTGTTTGTAGTTGCAGAGCCTAGTTACATAGCTGTTTGGTTGACATGACAAATCAAATTGTTACTTAGAAAGGTATTGGGAATAGCTGGGTAGATTGAGACATGTAAAATTTGATCTTTTTGCTGGTTCAATTGAAGCAAGCGTTTAGACCCAGATGTAATTTGTCATTAAGCTTTAATTGTATTTCATTAATGATTTTATTTGTCTGTGAAGTTATGCTAATGGACAAAAGAGATATTAATATTTGATTGTATTGGATTGCTCTCTATAAAACTCAATAAAATGCCAATGCCTAAATGAACACATTTACAAACACAAACCCTTGTTTGTCTCTGGATAGCTGAGTGGTTAGTGTTCCTGTGTATTAACTGAAAATCTATAGCATTTTAGTGTTTGTTAACGATATTCGTGCTTTAATTTAAATTAAATCTTACAATAGTGAGTGAGAACTACCATTATCAAGTGATTCAATCTTTAAATATAAAAAATACCTTAACATGATTCATTCAAAAGAAAAACGCTCGCTTTAACATTCAGATATGTTAGAATAATTCAGATTCTAACACACAAAGCATTAACCTTATCAAAAACCCATTAATCCGTTTGCATAAATTAATCTCACCACAATAATGCTATCTGATTAAATAAGCAAACCAATATTAAATGCCAAACCAAACATTGCTGATGCGGTCAGTTTGGCTAAAAGATGGAACTCGGCATTACAGATTATAAATGGTGATTAAAGCGGATTCCGCAGTAAATATTTCACTCAAGTGGTACAAAGAGTGTAATGGGTCCATTACATAGATAATGGGGTGATCCGGAGCAAATGGAACCAACAATCCGCCAGTATTAATCACTGACATCTCCGATGTTGCAATTGGTTATTTATTGTTTACACGCTGTGATGTAATGCATGTGACACATTATCTGGTATTGGTCCATTACAAGCCTCGTTATTTGTTGTTTATGAACGCTGTTAGCATTAATTTACAGAGATGTTTGATTTTCGTTACAATCATCGTTTCTTTTGTATTGGTTGCGTGTTTGTTTGAAATTACTAATGGTCATTGTGAAATGGATGTTTTTTTATTTCCTATTCAAAACCATTGTAATTTTTTATTTAGGGAGGTCTGAACTCTAATCTTGCTATCTGATGTTAGCCTTCTGTTTAAGAAAACATAATTAATTGAAACTCAAATAAAATTTGAGTTCAGAAAACATTTTTACTGGCAACAGATAAAACTTCAGATTAAAAAGTTTGTCAAACTTTGACAAAGACTCATTTTTTCAACTAGTCTCTTAATTTATTTTTAAGATAGAATCAATATATACATACTGTTCTAAAAAATGAAATTCCCACATAGTTTCCAATTGCATTAATTTAATCAATTAAATTAAAAACAATTAATTAATTTAAACAATTAATAGCTGACATGGGACAAAGGAATGAGAATAATTGATTCAAACTCAATCAAATTATTTCTTTGTGCTAATGGCTTTAAGGATAATTTTCCATCTGAAGATCAATATAAATTATTCTAAGATATTTTCACTTTTAATGGCCTCTCTACAATATCAATAGTTGACGCTCTATCTCACTTTTTATATCCCCTTAGAAGTGACAATTGTAGAGAACATTTTTATGGTGGTTGTGCAAGCCTTGCTCATTTTTTATTTGTATCGGTATAGTTACGCTGTAAACAAATCCAATAACACTAGAGCACCATAGCAATGTCTAACATAAACATAGCAAGGAAAAGGTTTCAATACTGGTTTTTAAGGGAAGCAGTAAATAACTGTGATTTTGTGGTACTTCCAGCAATTACAACCATAGCCCACAAACTTGCTAGACACATTAATCAGATACTTGTCTTGTGTTTTCAAAGTAAACATTGTGATTTTTGGGCAATCCAAGGAACGTAGACACCCACATGTTTCAACATCTCCCCCTCCTGTTGCAGATCTTCTCCCTGGGTTACTGCCCCACGGGCGAGTGGCTGGCTGTAGGGATGGAGAACAGTAATGTAGAAGTGTTACACGCCCTCAAGCCAGACAAGTACCAGCTGCACCTGCACGAGAGCTGTGTGTTATCGCTGCGCTTCGCCGCGTGTGGCAAGTGGTTCGTCTCTACAGGCAAGGACAACCTCCTCAACGCCTGGCGGACACCTTACGGAGCTTCTATCTTCCAGGTTGGTTTTGTAGATTTGTCATGCAACGATTTACACCATTTTCATGATTAGTTGGAGACAATTTTTCTGTGTGCAATAGGCCTACGTGAGCCATAAATTTATTGTTGCTCGGTAGCTGAGTAATTGTTGTGCTCACCTTGACAACACACCTTAACAAGAGGTCGCCGGTTTGATCCCTAGCAAAGTCAGTAGAGTAATTTTAATAAATGGTGTTCAACACATGGTCTTAGACAGTAACTAAACAGCATTAACAAACTTATAAAAAACTTATAAGCAGAAAGCAACTCATTACACATCTTACTAACCTCACTCTGTATTGTTATTAAGCTTAAACAAGTTACCTACTCAGATTATGTCCCTGAGTATGTCATAGTGAAGCGTTGTCTTGTTATTTTGCCAACTTGAAATATTATTTTAACCAAACAAATGTTAAGGTGTCAGAAATGGAGTGACTTGTGTATTGTATACAGTTGGTAGGTAAATTCATCTTAAATCCAAAATGTCACCAGAGCCGCATTTATAAATGGGCATGGTGGGCTCAGACCCAGGCGCGCAAGGAAGAGTAAAATTCCCCCACAATGTAAGTGGAGAGGGGCGAAATCGTCTCTCGGGCCCATAGTGCATCACACTCAAACTGCAGGCCTGATGTCACCCAAAAAACCCGTGCGAATTTGATTAAGATATTCCTAATGAAGGAATAAAAAGTACACCATCATAGGTAAACAATATTACATTGTCTTTTCTAATTTAATACAGGGGTTCTTACAGTAAAATTTCAATTTCTCATTTTTGTTACAGTCCAAAGAGTCGTCGTCGGTGTTAAGCTGCGACATCTCTGCTGACGACAAATACATCGTGACGGGCTCGGGCGATAAGAAGGCAACCGTCTACGAAGTCATTTACTGACCACGCTCAAAGTCAAAAAAGTGACCGAGCAAGATCCCTGCGCTGAGTCCCTCTACTTAGTTGTATCTTACTTGTCATCGGTGAATTTGTATTGTAAATGACTCATGTGATAAAAATGCACCAATGATACAGCAATCGTTCAGGAATGAGTAAACAAGTTTTGTAGTGTGGTGAAAAAGTGGTGTAGCTATTTTTTAAATGTTAAATGTATTGCGTAGGCAATGACCAAAGAATCTGAATTTTGTTAAATGTTATTATGTTTTTGAAAATCTTCCTTTTGTGGAATGTGAAATCACATTTTTGTTTATAGAGTGTACAAATTTATCTTTCTTACAAAAGAAGAGCTTGGTATTGGTGCTTGTAATGTGAACGGACCATTTTTAATATAAAAAAAACAACTATTTTTCTTCAAGGCTGCTCAGAAGGTATTTTTTTGACAAAGTTTTATGTGAATCAATAGACGAACATATTTAAATTGTTTATCTTACTTTTGTATTAATAACACCAAAGAAAAAAAAAACAGTTTTTGTTTATCGACACAAATCTGCAAGGAACCATTATGATCAAATTAATTACATCTTGTACAATAAAAGAATGTAACTAATATTTTTGAATGGTGCATGCAAAAAAAATGAAATTTCTCATAATTTGATATAAATGAAAATCAACCCTTTTTTTGAACAATGACAAGTAATATCTGATCTCGGATGAATAGAGGGCCGAGGTGTACAATGAATCTCTTATATCCACTTACCATACTCTTGTACATTTCTAGACGAGACTAGGTGCTTTAGGTTAACCTGTTTGTGTTGATCTCCAGTTGTAAGTTTATTTTCGTTCGACACAGTGTACAGACGTTCGTTAGACGACAGTGCATTTTGTTTTGTGACGTGTCCGATTTTTGTACAGATAAGAACTTATTAATGCTGTTTTTCTTCTTTTCCAAGAAAATGTTTATGTAATTGTTTTTAATTCTGGAAAGTATTTACTAGTGACTAGGTCTAGAGATGTTTCTCAAATTTTTCATTTCGAACCTTTGATATTTTCCACATTTTAACAGCGAAAGTAACACTGAAAGTTACGTTAAATTACTGTAAATAATAGTTATAATTTGTTGGTTGAAGCAGTGTTACGTTAATGATTATGTAATTATTTATCGTTACGTAGAACACTATTTTTAACAGAAAATTCGCTAGATATAAAAATGTGCAAAATATCAAAGTTGTACTGTACATTGCATTTTGCCGTTTTATACAATATTTATTAATTTTTCACATCCCACATTGTGTTATTCAGTATCTGTTATTGAAATCGAAATAGCATTTATGTACAACACTGCTTGTGCCGTACAAAGTATATTTTTCTGTATACACCATAGACACTATCAGGGATAGGTTTGTACCGTGTATATACGTATGTTCATGTACAGCTACGCTAGCGACTAGCGACTCTCCACCGAATTACTACGCTGGTAAATCTCATCATCTGTTACTAGTAAACACGATTCTCAAAGTATCTTGTGTGATTTATTTATCCTTATGGAAGAGTTTTTAAGTATTCAATTCATGTTGCTGATTCATTCATGATAAGTCAGCTGATCATTTGAAACTGGATCCAGCTGGGTTTGATCATAGGACACTTGGGCTGGAGAAACAGCTGATCTTAGCAACAAAGCTATGAGATCATTTCACTTTATTCTACATGTTGCAAAGTTGCATTGCTATTTACTGAATGAGTATTGGCTTTTTGACTGATGATAGAAGACACCCAGAAAAGTTACTCATTAAAAATTAAAAAAATAAATTAGTCAAACCAAACCAACAATACTAAAGTCAAATACACCAGTATTTTAATCTAGTGAAATAAAAGAGCAAAATATTATAAAATGTAGCATTTTTCGTCTCATCAACCATAGTGTCAAAAACAAAGAGAGAAAATATAATTTTCATAGTAACTTTAGCCTGTTACAACTTCCAATATTTTCAATGTTCTAGCTCATTGTGAAAAAGGTTCACTCTAATGTGTTCTTAATGAATAGATGACTTGGCTACAGTTGGTCCGTATCATTTCCAGTGTATCCACGCAATAAAAACTCAACAACAATTTAGAGTTATGACGAGCACTTATTTACAACTAAATAAAGGTATTTTATGACAAAATTCCTAAGGGCCAAAAGAGTTTAGCCCTTTGGGAGGTTTTTTTACTAGGTCGGTCTGAAAAGTGCCAGGCTTTCCGTGGGGGCGAAGTGTAGTGCGCAAGAATAAAAATCAGTAAAAGTATAAATTTTCATCCCAAAAGTGCCATGGAACGATATATCGTGCCTCGATCGTACGAGAAATCAATTGAAATCATTGTTGTTTTATAATAAAAATCGAGTCAACCGATATATCCATTAAAACACACATTATCGAAAATCGCGCCGGCCCGATATATTGTTGCAATGTATTTTTCGGTAAGACTACCGACGGCGATATATCGTTGTGAAGTATTTTTCAAATGTGTTGTGCAAAACAATATCGTTGAGTGGCATTCAAAGGGTTAAGGGTAGTCAGACACATATGAATCTTTAGGCATGAAATCTAGAGATATGGTAACATTGGTAACAAGAACATAGCAGGGACAGGACATCAACTGATAGGTTAGGTTTTAGCAGTAATGAACTAGAAAAAATACTAACCTTACCAAACAGAAAGAATTTGGAGCTTCCTTAAATATAATTACTGATGGGTTGTTAGGGCTCGCCTAATCTTAGTCCCAGGTTGATACCTATCTAACAAAAGGCAAAAATTAGATAGTAAGAAAACCAAGGTGTTAGGTTCTTTTAGCACACATGGGCAAAATGCTAACTTAAAATAAATGGTATAAAGACCCTAATTCTACTTTTTCCTCACAAAAAACTTAAGTAATTATGTTATTATTTTTGTTTGTATATGATATATTCTAGGCCAGACAATCAAGTATTTGTGATTTGAATTGATATAAAACAATGCATGAACTACTTAAATATTAATCAAGCATACAGATAAATTGAATAGCTGAATTCTCCATTGCCAATGCATAAACATATGAGTATTTGTTATGTCATTTCAAAGAACTTTGAAAAGTCTAAAATCATATTTGAACTCAAAACAAAGCGTTGATAAAACCACAGTTACCAGAGAATCGCTAAATGTCTGACCGGAGCAAAATATTCTTAAGAGCAGAGTTACAAAACAAACACCGTGGTCAGTGGTGTTTGCTATTCATTGAACAAAATGTTTGCGCTGTTGGGAATTAAAGGCAAACAGAACGATTTCACCTGACCCTGACAAACAAAGCATTGAACAAATAAACGTAGCGGAATGAGAGCAGAATAAATATTTGGCTACCTAATAATAACAGCTGGAATATAAACTGGCTTGGGAGTGAAAAACAGCAACTGGTTAAACAAAGAAAATTGGTAAATACTGCTATGAAGCTATGTTTATCCTTATTATTGGGGTTTTTAATTATTCCATTATTACTGGGTGTACAATGGCTGTTTTCTGATACAGTAAAAAGTTAGCGATTGAAAAATGTTTACTGTGAATCTATAATATTGAGGTAAAATGTAAATGAGGGTTTTATTTTTATATTATTTAAAAGTTACTTTTAACTAGATTTTTATGCATAATTCAGTATATAAATTTGACTATCCTATAGTATGACATCTTGCATATCCATTTTTAATAATACAGTGTTTATGGGGCAATGAGAGCTATACACAAAACCAAAACCTATAATTTTTACCCTACAGATATAAAAAACACATCAAAACAAAAGGTAATCTTATACTATTTTGTCCTAAATAAGCCATTATATCTTGAAAACAACATCTTGAAATGTTAACGTTAACATTCTTCGAGTCGCCTTCGTAGACACTGAGCATTTCTTGAGGAATCGCTTGAACCTTTTTGGCGATTATGCTGAGTTTGAGCAGGCATCTTGTATCTTGTAGGGGTGGAAATGGAGATCTCCAAGAAATTTGAAGTGTCCAAGACTGCTTCCTGGCGGACCTCCACTGACTTTGGATCTCTCACCACATTGACTGGTTTGCAAACAGTTAAATGGCTTCCAACAAACTTTCTCTGTGTTGACCGTACTTCTAAATAAAGATGCCCAGTTCTCTATAGTCAACCGACTTGGAACAGCCCCATTTCGATCAATATTGAAATGCTTCCTAAAAAATCTCTGTGTTTTTATAAAAGAATCATTACTCCAAAAATACATTTCCACAGCAAAAGCACGGTGTTCAGGATTTCAAAATACCATGTTTACTAAAATGATTTTGTTCAATTTGGTTTATGAGCACAGCTGTTCTCTCATTGTTGCAATAGTTATCATCTGGTGGGTAAAATAAATTGTATAGTTCTCATTGCCCCACCAGCCAGTATGATATTTATTGTAACATGTTTACTTGGACATATTAAATATACCATATGTTCTAGACAGCTAGAGCAATTACTTACTCTTGATTTAGAGCTAGGTTTACACGGCAAGAAATTGCAAGATTTTTTCTGATAGACGCTACTTCTTTGATATCACGACACGAGCAATCTGTTGCAATGTTCGGCTCTTGAACTTAATCAACATTAATCTCAGCACTAAGAATGTCTCGCTCTTACCCTGTCGTCCGATCAGTCAGTAAAAGATATTTCCCGACACTGTTGTGCAAGATGGCGTATCGAGTGTGTCTTGGCAGCCTATAAAATACGAGTAATGCTTTTAAAGAAAGTAGACTGTATTTCTTTTAGGATAATCTGGCGCATCCACCACCTGTAACGGTAGGTCCCTCTACTTGAGGTACCCGCTGAATTTGGGCGACACAACTCAGAAATGAAACTCAGCACTCGCTTCTAAACCCAACTTTATTATAACCCAAAATGATACAAAGATCACTAAGATTAAAATCAAACAAAAAGGCAAAGTAATGCTTTTAAAGAAAGTGGACTGTATTTCTTTTAGGATACTAAATTTTATTATGTACAAAAATTATATTAGTTTTTACTACACAGTTCTTCCTCACTTTTACATTAATGTAAAATACAAAGAGTGTTAGTGGCAGATCTTGGCAACATATTCTGGCCCTGAATGTACCCTGCATTTCCTTTGAGGAACCACATTGTTTTCAATTTTAGACAGTTTTGTTGGTTTGTGAGCTTAAGATCATTTTTGTCAGGGTGCAGAGATAACTTTCTTGCGCTTAATCATTATTTGAGTGGGGGTGAACCCACCCTAATCCTTTTTGCAGAATGTCTTTTCGGACGGGTCGAGTCCCTGTCTTGCTGAGCACACACTACGAGGGTCATCCTTTCCCCCAGGCTCTCCTGGCTGAGACTATATTTTATTAGATCTTGTTTTGGGGTCTTCGACCTCCTCTTCCACATCTTGCAGTACTACCATGAGGCAGTTGATACTACCCTTGTTGTACCATCCTGTTCTAACATGAAGCGAGGTACCCTATCTAGAAGTCAAACCGAGCAGAAAGGATGCAGAATGAGGTAGCCTGGTATCTTGCAGGTACTGTTTGAACACCACTCAAAAAAACTATTCTTAAGGTGCCTTCCACTTCTCAGCACAGTCTACATGACACCTTGAGTTGACCTATAACAGAAATAGAGAGGAGGGGGACAGAAAGGTGGATGAAATATTATGAGATTGATAGGTGAAGACAGTTATTCCAGTGTTTGGAAGCTGAAGAATTTTGTGTTAACAGGACAGTCCCTGAGCAGATGAAGGATCAGTCTATGTCTGATGGAAATCCCACCGGGCGATAGGATCGCCGACCCTTACGATAACTGCAGTGTTAGCAAAACGGGAGTGCCGATGGAGACCAGGTCAAGTCCCTTCAAACGCACACACCCCCACTGACAGGTCTCCATCGGCACTCCCGTTTTGCTAACACTATAAAAATACTATTTAACTAACTTATCTTAAATTTAAAACTTTAATTTAAACTTACTTACTTGATACTTGATGTCTTTGTCTTTGACGCAGCTTGTGGGATTGACTGTGTCAGGGTGGGTTAACTAACATAACATAACTTAAATACTATTTTACCAAAATCCTATTTTCAATCTATTGCTCGTTCTCTGCTTCACAACCAGAAAAAACACACATCCCAATAACTACCCTGAAAAAAGAGACAAACATTTAGTTGACGTAAGCAAACTTAAACGTTACCAAAATGAAACTCACATAAAACAGGTACAGTAGACTCGCTGATTCGGCATGTTCGAGACATTGCCAGGGCCAGATTATTGAATGCCTTGTTAAAACATCCGTTCCAGATGTCTGCCGATCGATTCCACATAGATTTATTACATGTTAAAAATATTTTACTGTAGTAAAAATATACAAAAATATATTAAATATAGTAAAAATATACTAACATTATTTAAAAAACACCCTCCCTCCTTTAATCCCATACAACAGTGCAAGTGAAAGAGTTACACAATGATTAAACAATACCAATTTAATCCCGTGGAATAAATAACTAGAATGCAATGCAGGATTGTTCAAATACTGGTAAGCTAGCAACATGGGAAAAGGCTTCCAGTAATCCGACCAATCCTCACATAATAATGGTCGTTGTGTTTTGTTTACTGTCAAACAATTGTAACGTTATTCTGTGTTTTACTGTTTGGTTATGTTGCAACTGCATCACTGGCTGTTTACTCTATAGAGTGTTTTCATTTGCTATTCCCTTTCAGGGTTTCGCTTATCCTTCATTCGGTTTTAATTTGTTCACTTAATTTGTTTTTAGTTTGGCTTCGTTGTAGCCTCAGTTAATGAACTGCATTTGTTGCTTTTGATTTGTTGGAACCTGACGATTGGTTTTTATCAATTCGGTCCATGCTGGGATACCATTTGTACAAATGAAACATGAGGAAAACCTATAAATATAATAACATTTACAAAAAGACTATCATGATTGATTCTACCATCTATTGTATAAATGAACAATGAGCTAAAATCAAAACATCATGACTACACTCTCGTTTGAGAGAATATTCTAATCAAAGATTAAATACAGTATGTTGATCAAGGACACAATAGTAATGGTAGAATCTATACACAAGAGGAATATTTATATTGATGACGATTGTTTGTGAGGATAGCAGGCTTACCTGAATGGGAAAGAGTCGAAACTGGCACAGGAAACACAAAACTTTACAACTATATACACAAAACATTAGAATATTTCACTGTCACTGACAGCATTTTGAACGAAAGAAAAGAGAGTTTTACCTCTTGTACAGAGAGGATTTACAGAGAGTTTTACAGGGAAAAACACTCTCTTCCTTAGTTGAAAATGCTGTCAGTGACAGTGAAATTTTCTAATGTTTTGTGTATATAGTTGTAAAGTTTTGTGTTTCCTGTGCCAGTTTGGACTCTTTCCCATTTAGTTAAGCCTGCCATCCTCTCAAACAATCCTAAAAACCTGGCCCTTGTGCTCTATGCTACACCCTTGTATTGATAAAGAGTTTTCAAACCAACTAGAAAACCCTCACTTGAATCAATATCAACCCATTGAACTTCTAGGATTAAACCTTTTCATCCTCTGACAAATGATCAGTTTTCGTCCCTAAGCTGAAAAATACCCGAGACTTGGCTATGTTAGTTCAGATACAACTTAATTGGGATTTTGGTGCGCTGCAAGGTTACGACATAAATGTAATGAGCTGGAAAAGAATTTGCTTGAATGTTAACAGGAGAGTAAAGAAACAACCAGATACAGCAGTAAATAAATTTATTCCGCCAGAATGAACGTATGCAAGAACTTATATAAAATAGTTACAATTATGAAACACGATAGAGTACGGATCATCCGATATAAATATTTGGTTTTCTAAAAGAAAATTTACTTAAAACATAAACTGTTTGGTAAATAAAAGAAAAACCCTACAACACTTTTCAGTTCTGAGTTACGAAACAATCAGCAGATAATCGATTAACTAGCGAATAATTACAAGTTTGTTATCCGGGATCACACCCCGGGAACAGCTGATCCGTGTCAGTATATACAACTGTGTCGTCTGCACACAGCAGACAGCTGATTTGCTGGAAAAATAAATTTCAGTGAAGTTAAGCAACAAATTTTCATTCAATTTCAAGCGATATTTTGCAAATCAAGCCTCATATATTCCGAAGCTCCTAAATTCATGCATAGAAAAAAATCTTAATGCAACAGTTCAATTAAATATTTCACAAAATTGTAATTATTTATTAATACTAAGTCATTGGGATACAGGATAGTGAATAGTATTTGTATTTTACAAAATGTATCCGCATCGGACTTACATAGTAACACGAATACGTATGAAATATACAGTAAAATAAATACCACGCGGATTACAACTATGAAAACTCTGAACTGAAAACTCTTCACAGAAGTTTATTTTTGCACCAAACACGAGACGTTTTGATTCGTTAAAACCTATCACATAAAGCTTATCCTGTAGTGGATGCGGGTTAACAGGAAAATAAAAATTCTTAATTTAGGACTAAACGATAGTTACAAATATATATATAAATAACCTAACAAATAGTTTTAAATTTACATAATTTACAAATCACTACTCGATTCAAAGGCGAAATAGGGAACGCACATACAGAGATCACCTAATGGAACCAAAGTACGAACGTTGTTCCGTTAATTAAATTATATCTAATAAGTATAAGTGTATAACTGAGCCGTAAGACTTCTCATTTACCATTTCCTTTGATGACAAACGTCACTAGTCCACTGCCACCTTGTAAACGATATGTCCTGGTACAACACATGTGTAAATCCTTAACGTATAAGAAACTTTAATTACAAAAATAGTCTGTTATATACAACTACACAATCACTCTTTTACCTATTGATGAGAACTGCAAAACTAAGTCTTAAAAACAAATCTATGACAGTTCAAAAGGTGAGAGAAATGGTAAATGAGCCAATTCATCCTCGGGATGAGCCACTAAGATTGAAAAGGTTTGCAAAACAAATCTTAGGATATTAACTATAACTTATCTTTAACTCTGTAAAGAAATTTTGACAATTTGTAAATTTAAAATGCAAGAAAAATTAGTTTGAAGTATTAACTAAAATTATGTTTGTTCACCTGTCTGAAATTAACTCATCAATTTTAAAACTTGATTCAACAAATTCAGTTTTAACTGATTTCAGGAAACATACGTGAACTTTATTTAAAAAATGTCGGTAATAAATTAAATTTCACTACTAATGTTGTAGAATATACAAACGTTTTATCAAAAACATTTAAACTTTGATTTTTGAAAGCAACCAACATTGTTTTAAGTCTTACTGCTGTTTTGATCAAGTGATTGATTAGACACCAAAGAGAAAGAAATTAATTTGCCACAATTCAATGCCTTAGATCCCAAGCTATCTACCTTTAAATGAGTGAAAAACAAGTTACTTTTCTACACGAAAATGGTCCAGTGTATATTTATTTAATAATTCCAAATCAATCTAAGGGTAGAAATAAATTTACAAAACAATATATATATACAAGATAAATATATATGTACATAGAGTAGCCAATTTATCGACCAATGTTTAACAGACTATACAAAACAATGACAATTCATCCACTTTAAAATGGGCTATGACAGAAATAAAATACATAAATATCGTGACAAAAATTATCAGATAATTTGGTAAATTATTTTATTAAAATTCACGTATTATACACAAACATGTCTCAGTATTTTTAGGTAAACTAATTTATTTAATGAAAGAGGAGAACAATATTGGTAATAATTATCTTAATTAAATAAGTAGGGGGAACCAGTTAAATTTCATAATTTCAAATGTAAAAATATAACAAATACAACCAACTTTTAATTGAAACACAAAAATGTTACAAAAGAAAGCTCTCAAAAGAATTTCAAAGGTATTAAAAAATATATAGGAGAATCCATTCAACAAGTCGCCCACTTTTGCCAATTCTGGACATCAGTAAAAATAAAATCTTTTTAAGATATAAAGAGTATATTCAAAAACTAAACATATCGAAACACTATTTTTATAAATTTTCTTTGTGTCTGAATTATTTAAACCAAACATGACTTATTTTTTTCTCATATTAACTTTTAGGCTACATAGATAGACAATCACATATTTCAAAAATAATATTCCGTAAAATTAAGATTTGCAAACAAACAGACACACCTAATCAATAGCAATCAAGTTGTTGGTTGAGGTGTCAACATAATTTAATTGTGATTGCCTTAACTGGCAAAATACTTATGGACACTTGCTGTAAGAGTATTTCATTGAAAAAAATAAAAATAAAAATATGCAACATAGTAATAACCAGTATAGGTTGCTAAAACTCACAACACAAAATTTATGAACACAGATGAATTGGGCAAAAAAATGTGATATAAGTAACATCATCCAACTAAATTATGTTTAACATGAATTAGGTTCTTGTCAGGTTATGCAATAGGAGACAACCCTGAAAAATCCAGCCTGAATTTAGGGTGCAACTAATATCAAGTATGAAATAAGCTCTTTATAGTAAAATTCATTTAATTACTAAAATTTACAAAATTTTTTTTCAAACATAAAATGTAACAGAGTTTTATAAAACTACTTAGAACTACTGTAAAGCAAACGTGGACCAAATAGTACCAAAAAGTTAAAAAAAATAAATATTCAAATACATAATCCATTTTCAAAATTTCCAACCAATTTGCACAGCAAAAGTATTCATACAAGTTATTTAAATTATTGAACACAATAATTAGACAGATAAAATACTCATAAAGGCTCCGATTAGATTAATACACATTTTCTTCTTCATTTTCGCTAACAATAATTTGGTTTAACCTAGATACTTTAATGACTTGTTCAAACATGTGGCAATTTAAAACACCGATGACACTCGTTCGATGTGGACGAGGCTCATGTTACCGCAGGGTTGAGTACGCTGTCGCGCGAGTTACTCTGGCTGGTCGCGCGGAGTAGAGTGACGGCCTCGCGTTCGGGGCTGCATTGCACCACTGCGGCTAGTCACTTTCCTCGGACGCCTTTCTTTTTCTTACGCTTGAAGAAACAACAGCACCTGCAAAACCAACACCTACGCCTTTACTTCACTGAACACACCCAAGTTAACACAGATGACATTGTGAGCATTTCCCTAACAATGTGATAAACGTGCGTTCGCCATGGAACCTACAAGCCATATATGTTTATTTTATCTGTATAGATGGAGAGTAAATCATGTTTGGTTAGTAGTTCTATTCAGGGTTTCCACAATTTATCATTTTTTATTCTCTAGTATTCCCTGACCACAACATATTTATCACTGAGCAAGTTTTTCAGTTCTTTCACATAATATTTATTTTGGGTTAAAACTTGCAATGTTTGTTTAAATAATGCGTCCTCCAATATTTCCATAGCCACCTTACATCTGGTTAAAATTTTAAAAAAATTAAAGGAACAGGAACAGGATTGACTGAGAAATAGGAAGAACTATTCATAGCTACAGCTGTAATAAAATTCCTTATTCCTACGTGATAACAAAATTAATAGCATGATAGTAAAGTTAACAGATGAAAATTGAAAAAACTATAACTCGAAAACTGAAACTGCTTTTGATCATAGGTACAGAAAAACAGCGGAGCAACTTTTTATTTCAATTTGCATGCATTTCTAATCTTTTCATGATCATCACCAACTTTCCCGGATCTTATAAATCTGTGGAAACCCTGTTTTTGAAATGCAATACCATGTAAGAACAAAGTGTTTTTGTGCATCAGTTTTGTTGCTTTCCATTAATGTTATAGACCAACATCGATGCTACAATAGGGCAATCAAATGGTAGATTTTGCGAATACAAGTATTTTGGAGCAAAAATTAATATGCAGCGTCTCAAATTATTCAATATATATCAATATTTAGTCAATATCTATGATCAAATTATATCAAACTAAGGAATCTAATATGATAATGTGTTGCGTTTGGTCCAAATAACAAATTGCAGTGTCACTAAATCCTAAACTATGATTTTTACACTGCTTTGTGTCTAAACACAGTTTGTGTGCAAAGTAAAGAATTGTTATCTAATCTAAAAGATTTTGACACAATGCCACAGCAAAGAAATGTCTTTGCTATGCCGTGGCGAAAACAGCTGATTTCAACATATGGGTGTAGTTCTTTTTACTCCTGGGGCAAAAAAAGAATCAGCTGTCCATTTATCTCATTTGTACACTATGATTGCAAAATAGTTGCAGATTGCTATTATATCTTCTTTATTGCAAAGCTATCGGCTGTAATTTTACTACTTAAATTCCTACAAGATGAGTGATCCTGCAATAATACAAAGGTGAAAGAGGAAATAGTTGAATACCTCAGTAACAGCTATTACGTTTATGATAGCAGAAAAAATGTTTTGGAGAAATCTTATTAAGGGAGTCTACCCCTTCCCTTAGCCCTAAGGCAGGTACTTCCCCCCCCAGCTGTGAATTATTTTAGTTCCAAGGTGATTACTACACTGATATTGGAATAACATTTAATTCAAAACTTTTCGAGTGTTCCGCATGTTTTTATGAAGGCCAATATCAATAGCACTCTGAGTGCCTACCTAGGACAACGGATTTAAGTACAGCTGGCCTCCGATTGATACAACCTAAATCAAGTCTTTCTGATTGCAAATGGTTAACACAATTGAGATTAGACTCAGTCGGAAAACAAAACACTTGTCCTCTTAATGAAGTAATATACTATTTTGGGCCACGTGGCACTATTTGTTCTTTGGACCTGACGCAACACATCCAAATAACGCAAAATGTGGAAAGATCAATGATACGAGGTTCTACGATACTTTGTATAATAACTCTCAGGTTTTACCAATGGGTGATCTACTTCATGTAATAGTAACCCCCCACTGTTGATATTGTATACAGACACAATCCCCTGATGCAGCATGCTGCATGCTCCATGACAACTATCCTAACTCAACAGATCTCGTACAAATCCAAACAAACTTCTCCCACTCGCAGCCACTGTTAGCTTGCGTTGCTTTGCTTTAGTTATGTTTGCTATAATTTAGCACAAATTTAAAACCCTACTTGTGTTTCCAACAGTAATTAACCGTTTTAAATATTGTTCCTGAATACCATTTTCTCGGCAGATATTTTTTGTCGCAGCAGGCTTGAGGCATGTGTTACTAAGCGAGGCAAGACAATTGGCAAAATATTTTAGAGCAAGCTTAAAATTTAAGCTGCAAAAATTGTTTCCAATCGTTTCACTTGAAAATAACATTTAACGTTGGTTATTTATGTTTATTTTTAAACCTCTAAATTTGTATTGTTAATTTTGTCAACTGTCTATTCAATTATATGAGAATAACTATTTGAATTGTTATAAAAATAAATCTGTTCAAATACAATGGAACCTCAGTTAATTAAACCTTTTTATTAGAACCTTAAGAGATAACAAAAAAGTTAATAATGGACAAAATTATTTGCAATTCAAAATAATTTTATTAAAAATACCTCGTGTAATAACACACTATACAGAAATAAGATCATGACGGACAGTTTTAAGTTTTTATAACATGTATACAAAAATAAAATATTCAGACAATATGACTCCAGTAATGAAGAGGATCGTTCTTTACAACTTGGTATTCAGTTTGATAATGGACCTTTGGATTCAAAACCAATGGGCGCCTGTCAAAAAAGAAAAAAAAAGAATCACTTGACAGTACAAGTATTTTTACCTACGACCGTTTTTTAAAGTAGCCATTTCAGTCCAGTTCTTAGAATTGAAAAGTTTCACTTTAGAGCTGTTTACTTTCATATCCGCATAGTTTCATTTCATATCCGCATAGTTTTCTCATATCCACACAGGTAACGGACCAATGAGGTTCAAGTATTGAGAGAAAAGAATTAAAATTGTAATGCTTCAAACGTCAACTAATCAGCTGATCAGCTGATCAGTTGACCAATTTAATTGTTGATCCGACTTGTTCATGTTGATACTCGCGTATTCTTAATTAAGTTGGTGGAAGTCCAAAAATAAATGAAATATTTGCAGAATTGTACCTGATACAATATTATTTATGGTAAGAATGCTGCTAGCAATGTAATATTTAACGAAGTTTAACAAACACGTAATTACAGGAAATCAGCTGATTATACAACAAGTCGTTGCATCACTTTCAGTGGCAATGACAATACACGAAAACATAACCTCTCTAAAAAGTTATCAGTAGTGATTGTTAGTAATTAAATCCAGATTGATAGTAATTAAAAAACGGTCGTAGGTAAAGTAGTGTACGCAACTCGCGTTAATAGTCTTTACGACACTCGTAGAAGTTTTTAAGGCACTCGCCAAGGCTCGTGCCTTACATTTTCTACTCGTGTCGTAAAGACTCACTTAACGCAATCGTTGCGTAAACTACTATTAACCTTCTTATCTGTGTTATTCAGATGCTAAAAATAATTTAACTGCAGAGGTAATTTTTTGTGAATATTTCGTTTGGTTTAACATCTTTTTTTTTAGACTGTGGATTATTTTAAAAATCAAAATTGGTTTAAATACCTACTTCAACCACTTTTGCGTATTCCAAATGTTGCTTGTGCAACTAGTTTCAACTTGTCAAGAAGTAGTATTCATGTTTTTGTTTTAGGATGTCATGAACGCTTCATCAGAAGGTAATCCAGTCACATACAGTATACTCAATACGTAAACACACTCACACGAAACAAACTTTAAACCACGGAATCGTGGAATTATGTACCGATTATTCGTTTAAATGTCCGGGGTTTTAATATTCATGTACGTGTGTCTCTTTACGTGTTAAAATGTGTACATAGATTGACGACTTTCTGATGAAGCGATCACGACACCCTTCAATGTATGAAGACGATTCCATGACAAGTCTTAAACTAGTTGCGGCACAAGCAGCATTTGGTTCAGGTATTTAAACAAATGTCATTTATCTTAACCTTCAACCCTACTTCACTCGGACTGACACAATTGCTCTACTCTAGGCTCAGCCCATGCCAGCTGTCTCCGCTTACTACTCAGGGCAAAACACGCAGGAACAGAGACCAACAACTGCCCGTCCCTGCCACGCTGGACTCTGGTGTCTCCGTCTCACTACTCTCATTGTCATCGTCACTGATCAACAACACCAAACCAAGTGAAACAAAACAATCATTTCAATTGGTAGGAATTTGCAACCAGATTTTGATGGACTCTCGCTTATCCAAACCATCTATTGTTGATCTAGCTAAATAAATGAGTTATTGTATTTAGAGTCTAACAGTTCCTTGATAAAAAACAATGCCTTGATTTTTAGCCTTCGTTTTGTTTTAAATCCTAAAATTGATGTAGGCCTATACACCGTAAAATTTCAACAGTCTAAGTTATATATATTTTTTTGTCTATTTATAGCCATTTTCATGTCACTGAGTATTTAGGTGCCCAGACCAGTTGCATCTTAGGGCTGTAAAATTGTGTTTTTAACGCTGATGTTTGCAATTTTTGCAATTTTTGCAATGTTGCAACTTTTAAAAGAAAATTTGATAAACCTGGTTTCAGTGTAAAAAATGAGAAAACCATTGAGAATTCTTTTCCTTCAAAAGAATAAAAATTTTCCCTCGTAGCAGTTTTCTAACCACAAGTGAGATCCACCTGGAATTATTGTTTGTGAAGACAACCTACAAATTAAGTGACAAGACATTGAATAGGACCCGAAGATGACTATTTAATATAGTATGAAAACATGAGTATGAAAATTATCGCTGCAATCCAGGGAGTGTGTCTTAATTTTACTGCGAATAAACAAAGTATCGAGTATAAAATGTTCCCTCAATACTAAAAAACATCTAAAGTTTTGTAAAATTGAGGATCACAAACAACCCATCTCTATTTGAAATGTTTTGCTCCAATATTTTCAGTAGTTTTATCATATTTTACAAAATTCATGACTCATTCACGGATTAGTTCTTTGAGTGGGTACAATGTTGAAGTTGCCCTAGAACAATATTGTATATTGTGTATTACAGGTCTTTAAGTAAATTAAGTGACTTTTCAGTGACCTTTTGCAGTAAAGAATTATCTGTGACCGTTGTTATCCGTAGTAAGCTTACATCTATATATTTCCTCCCGTTGTTGCTTCTAATTTCGGATAAAAAATCTACATTCTGTATAACTGTGGCCCTCATTAAAATCTGTGACTTAGAACACCTTAAAATTAAAATTTAAGATCCCTTGATAAAACTGGATAAACAAGACGTTTGGATTAGCGCAAAATTTTTCTGTGAATGTTATTTTACAGCATTATCACAGCCACTGGACTGTTGGGATTTGAATCTGGGACGCCAGGGCAAAATTCCCTCGCTCTACCACTAGTCCAGCTGCACCCCAATAATAACACAGTTTATAAATATGTCATACAAACCGAACAAAATACTGAGATTTTGACGAACATTTATCTACTTTCAGACGTATAAACCGTAATTTATATTTTCAGCATAGCACACAATCTATTCCGATGCTACTTGTGGACATTAATTGATTTTAAAGCTAATAATATCCATAAAACGTTTGTTTTTTCTATATTTCAAACGTGCTCCAAACCAAATCCACAATAGACATACTGTACTTACCAAATTAATTACTAGCTGGCAAATACAAATTCTTTTCCCTGGTAGATAAATGTTTCTATTTGGGTTGAAAAAAGCAAAAGAGAAGGAAAAAGAAGAGAAAACCTACAAAATCACCTAAAATAGTCACTGGCAAAGATCATATACGTAATACTGTAGAACATTCTAAACTAGCAAACCTGGCTAGAACAAGATAATTGATGATAATTCATGGATTTCTAAAAACACTAAGCTATTTTTGGCCTCTGGTATAAAATAACAATAATTCAGGGGTATTTCAAAGGGAGGCTACATGGACAAAAGCCCCCCCTGGACCCTGTAAAAATAAATTTCATCAAATATTTTGTTCTAAAAATGTAACAAAGGGTGTTGTATACAGTTCTAGGCGGAAAAAACGTCTTTAGAGAGCCACCAAACGGTTTTAAAAATACTTAAATTTCTGGAGATAGACACCCGGAATACCCACGTTTTCTTCTACACCCTCCTTGACAAGGTCCTAAAACCTCCACTGCAATAATTAATAATAATAATATTACTATTATTTTAAGTAGATTTTAGACATTAAAATTTCTTATCATGAAATTCCCACATTTCAGGAAACATCAGTGATATGTCCATCTAAAGCCAAGGTTTATAAACCGTGCAATTAAATGAGCTGACAAATCATTTAATTATAAGCGTTTCAAAATCATTTCAACAGCAAACTGAGGGCTGAAATATTTTGTTTCGCCGCTTAAATTGCACAGACAATGGAACACCAAATTTCAGTGGACTAAGCCCCCGTGTTTTTCTACTGCTAGGATGTGACGTTTTGTTTTTCTACTCCAAGTATGTAATGTTTTAGTGGACTAAGCCCCCATGTTTTTCTACTGCTAGGATGTGACGTTTTGTTTTTCTACTCCAAGTATGTAATGTTTTAGTGGACCATGTTCCCATGTTTTTTACTCTGAGTATGTGACGTTTTTGTGTCTCTACGTTTTTACACTCTAAAATGTGATGTGTTAGTGGACAATGTCCCCATGTTTCTCTACTCTGGGTATGTGATGTTTTGTTTTTCTACTCCAAGTATGTAATGTTTTAGTGGACCATGTTCTCATGTATTTTACTCTGAGTATGTGACGTTTTAGTGTCTCTAAGTTTTTATACTCTAAAATGTGATGTGTTAGTGGACAATGTCACCATGTTTCTCTACTCTGGGAATGTGGTGTTTTGTTTTTCTACTCAAAGTATGTAATGTTTTAGTGGACCATGTTCCCATGTTTTTTACTCTGAGTATGTGACGTTTTAGTGTCTCTACGTTTTTATACTCTAAAATGTGATGTGTTAGTGGACAATGTCACCATGTTTCTCTACCCTGGGAATGTGGTGTTTTGTTTTTCTACTCAAAGTATGTAATGTTTTAGTGGACCATGTTCCCATGTTTTTTACTCAGAGTATGTGACGTTTTAGTGTCTCTACGTTTTTATACTCTAAAATGTGATGTGTTAGTGGACAATGTCACCATGTTTCTCTACTCTGGGAATGTGGTGTTTTGTTTTTCTACTCAAAGTATGTAATGTTTTAGTGGACCATGTTACCATGTATTTTACTCTGAGTATGTGACGTTTTAGTGTCTCTATGTTTTTATACTCTAAAATGTGATGTGTTAGTGGACAATGTCCCTATGTTTCTCTACTTTGGGTATGTGATGTTTTGTTTTTCTACTCCAAGTATGTAATGTTTTAGTGGACCATGTTACCATGTATTTTACTCTGAGTATGTGACGTTTTAGTGTCTCTACGTTTTTATACTCTAAAATGTGATGTGTTAGTGGACAATGTCCCCATGTTTCTCTACTCTGGGTATGTGTTGTTTTGTTTTTCTACTCCAAGTATGTAATGTTTTAGTGGACCATGTTACCATGTATTTTACTCTGAGTATGTGACGTTTTAGTGTATCTACGTTTTTATACTCTAAAATGTGATGTGTTAGTGGACAATGTCCCCATGTTTCTCTACTCTGGGTATGTGTTGTTTTGTTTTTCTACTCCAAGTATGTAATGTTTTAGTGGACCATGTTACCATGTATTTTACTCTGAGTATGTGACGTTTTAGTGTCTCTACGTTTTTATACTCTAAAATGTGATGTGTTAGTGGACAATGTCACCATGTTTCTCTACTCTGGGTATGTGTTGTTTTGTTTTTCTACTCGAAGTACGTAATGTTTTAGTGGACCATGTTCCCATGTTTTTTACTCTGAGTATGTGAGGTTTTAGTGTCTCTACGTTTTTTATACTCTAAAATGTGATGTGTTAGTGGACAATGTCCCCATGTTTCTCTACTCTGGGTATGTGATGTTTTGTTTTTCTACTCCAAGTATGTAATGTTTTAGTGGACCATGTTCTCATGTATTTTACTCTGAGTATGTGACGTTTTAGTGTCTCTACGTTTTTATACTCTAAAATGTGATGTGTTAGTGGACAATGTCCCCATGTTTCTCTACTCTGGGTATGTGATGTTTTGTTTTTCTACTCCAAGTATGTAATGTTTTAGTGGACCATGTTACCATGTATTTTACTCTGAGTATGTGACATTTTAGTGTCTCTACGTTTTTATACTCTAAAATGTGATGTGTTAGTGGACAATGTCCCTATGTTTCTCTACTTTGGGTATGTGGTGTTTTCTTTTACTACTCCAAGTATGTAATGTTTTAGTGGACCATGTTCCCATGTTTTTTACTCTGAGTATGTGACATTTTAGTGTCTCTACGTTTTTATACTCTGAAATGTGATGTGTTAGTGGATAATGTCCCCATGTTTCTCTAGTCTGAGTAAATGATGTTTTGTTTTTTTACTCCAAGTATGTCATGTTTTAGTGTAATGTGTCCCCAAGTTGATCTTCTCCAAGTATGTGATGTTTTAGTGGACAATGTCCCCATGTTTATCTATTCCCAGTTTGTGAGGTTTCAGTAGAGTATGTGATGGTTCACTTACTTGGTCTCATCCACTATCTCGACCTCCGCCTGTGCCGTGATAGGGGTGTTGGAGTGTCCGGCCGTAGGGTCGTCGTTGGCAAGTTCTCCATTGGTTGACGACACCACCTGGGCAATACAACGATTTTATAGACATCGCATTTTATATTCACAAGTAAAAAATAGACACATAGATTCCAATTTGGAAACCTGGTCCTAGAAGATTTTTGGATTAGATCAAAAATACTTAGAAGTGCATACATCTAGTACGCTGCAAAACTTACGACAGCTAGTCTGGCCAATACTACTACACCGAATTACACACGGTTGGTACAAAGTGAAAGATATTTTCCTGTAGATGTCTAACCCTTTATAAATTAAAATAGGCTCAAAAATAAGCACGAAAAATTAATTTGAATTTAAAAAAAATTAACCTGGGCCTAATGGGACGCTGGTGACAAAATTACAACAAAATATAAACAGAAAATCCAAACAATTTCCAATCACATGTTTTATTTACAGTGTGGGGTGAAAATAGAGAAGTCTGTACATTACATATTTTTGGTCGAGTTTTCAACCACTGGACGATTTCTATTTTACTATATTAACTATTGTACGGAGTAGTGCATTAATTTCTTTGTATATCATCTTGTTGGATTTACTATTGAGAAATTCTTCTTATTAGAAAATTCCCTAATGGAAAGTAGCTCTATTGTAACTACATGATAAAAACTCCCCAGAAGCTGAAATAAGTTTATTTCAAATTGTTATATAATTACCAATGTTTCTGTAGGTAAGATAACTGTTGTAAACATTTTTCATTTTTAATGAAGTTGGGATTAATTGTATAACCTAATCCAAATACGTGGAATCGAACTATGAGAAGTGGGTATTTAAGAATTTGTTTGTCCCAAAAACAGAACTAACACCTTACTACAGTTAAAAAATGATTATGCGAACTATATCAAAATATAAAATAGCAAATCACTCAAAACACTGCTACAAATCTTTTTCAATTTGTAAAAAACTTACTTATTACTGTTAGTTTTACTCTATTAGACATAGTTATGATCAACAACATGCGAATGCAAATGGCCTGATGATAGTTATGAAGAGACAATCGTAACAAATGCAACACAACGCATGCATTACAATTAAAACACTATAGATGCTATCATTGTAGAATGACACAAAATACAATATTTTAAAACTAATATAAATCAAAAATATTTTTAAAAATCAGTATAAGGCATTAGATTTTGAAAAACAACTTAATTCCTTCGCATAAAAGCTGCTTAAAAATAAAAACAATCAAGCTCAAAAAGTCTTTAATAAAACTTAACCCAAACTTATAACTATAATTTATATCCAGTATAGGTACATAAGTAGAAATGACTTCAGACAAATTGTGTGAGTGACTCTCTTTAATATTCATGTACATCGATGTATTCTTTCAAATAAAGTGTAGACTTTAAAATTTTAAACTTGTGTAACAACATCAATAATAAAAACATATATAAGAAAACATCAAGTGGTTTAGTAACCAGGGGAGCAGAAACATGTTTGGATTCCTAAAACTAGTTTGTCTTTGTCTAAACGAGAAGACTTAGTGTCTATCACTCAGCAAATACCAGCTATTCTGAAAGATGATAAAATCATTTTAGTTCACACACATACACGTAAGACAAGCTACATTTCATAAGTTATGAATAAAAGCCAAATTTATTTTGTCTAAGCACAACATGATTTACTGACCATATGGGACAACACAAACAAAACAAAACAATTGGCATAGCAATAAAGCCCACATAGTAACAACACACTCCGTCATGATCTCAGCACTAGTCCTGAAAAATTTGAGGGCTACTCACGCTCTTCAAGGTAAAATATTAGAAATTCAAATCATTTATGTAACAAATTAACATGAGGACAATATTTTTGTCATCTTAAACATTCAAATCTGCTCATTATCAGAGTAAAAGTGTCAACTAAAAGTAGTTTGTGGCTAGAATACCAGGGGGCAGCACCGGTAGATTCTCATTAGTAGGGCTCTACAATTTGTGAGCAGGAACGGAAACTTAGGGCCAAACTGAAAAGCTTCCGTTCGGTAGAAGATTACTGATGTGGAAAACCACTCAACATGGCCTAAATTGATTATCCGTACTATGAGGAAAACTTAAGAGAAATGGAAGAATACTTGAGAAGCCCTGGGAAAAAATAAGCTTTCTGAGAAACAAGGAATCAGTAGTCAGATTTTCTCATGCTTGCAGGAGAATTGGAAGTAGGAAGCTATGAATGAATCTAAAGAAGGATTAAAAGAACAGATGAAAGATAAATGGAAAATAGGAAGTAAAAAATTGATTCCCAATGATCTTAGTGATATGTGTGTGGTATTTCAAGAGAGATGTGTTGGTATGTCCATAGAAGAATGCCCGGTTAGGATGGAGAGAAATAAACATAAACAAGAACCAAGAAGATTATTAGGAAAGAGGCCTGAAGAATAACTGTATGGATAACCAAGTGGTCATAGTGCTAGTCTTTGAATCTGAAGGTTGCTGGTTAGATCAATTCTGACGCGTAATTTATCATTGGGCAATCAATTAATGTAGCTATCCAACAAAAGGTAAATGTTAAATAGTAACTAAAACTGCAAATAAAAGTTTAAAGGTCCACAACATTAAAAAAAAACAAAAAAAAACGCTCTAACGTAAACTAGGGTTGTAGAAGGAACTGCGGTTTCAGAAAAAAAATTATTACACCCGTGTCGCTTAAATTATTCATAGACAAACTCATTGTATACATCTACAGTGGGAGCAAGCGTTCGTCGGTTTCTACCAATCGCCAATCCATATTAAGTGATACTGCGGCCGCGCTAGAGCCTACATGTTCTGCTCCCCAGCAGGTTGTGTGCTGTGTAGTGTACCTGTACAGATCCGTGCCTATCAGCTGGAGTGAGGTTACCCAGGGTGTGAGAGGGTTGTTTGGAGACATCCGGCCAAGCAGCCACTCCCTTGCCTCCACCCTGTAACATAGACACACTCGTACCTCTCACACACCAACACACACTGCATCACAGATGGAACATTGGTATTGACTCTCATCCAGTACGCCCCAAAGCAGAACCATAGGCGACAGTGCGACATTGTCGTAGAAAGACGAGGAGGGCTGCAGAAAGCCCAGCCTGCCCCACTGTTTTTCTTATTTATTTTTTTTATTCTTATGATTTTTAGACCTATTTTTTATTATTTAGTTATGGCCACATAGCCCTTTCTTACACTTAACTTGTATAAATTCCTGTGGAAAAGGCTACATAACAAGTTAATAACATTGTTATTTTGCAGAAAATATTTCTGTAGAAAATTGATAACTTTATCTTCTACAGAAAAATTCTCCGTTCATGCATTACATCATCGAAAGCTTCATAAGTCAAATTTCAGTGCTCTGATTGTGAGGAAGAACGTATAGAATAACCGAATTACCAAAACAATTTAATGTAAAACAGTAAGCATTTTTGAATCGAAGAGTGTTTGAAAACTTATTTATTTCCGAATATTAATTAAAACTATCACACACACGGTTCATTTACACTCAACTTCCACCGTGTAACAATACAGAAAGTTTTGGGATTTTCTCAAGTCTGTTGCAGAAAGTTTAAATCATTCTGCTTTGATGTTTCAGCAAATTTCCGTCAATATAAGACACAATTAGCTTTATTTCCCTCTGTCATTCTAACAGTCCAGACTTTACAAAATTATCAGGGTATTCTCAGTAATCTATTTCAAAGGCGATACGTGGTACTTCAGCAGCAACGGTATTTGTTATCAATTTCTAAAATGATCACTGAATTGTTGAATTGAAAGCTTGTACTAGGTGCAATTAAGCTGTGTTGTAAGGTCCAAAAACAACTGGTTTTGCATACTTCCAACCACACGATGATCGTAAAAGACTGCGGAAGTTGTTCAAGATTTTCCACGATCTTGAAAAACAATGATTAAGTTTCCGTGATCGCTTGAGATGATGATGAAGTCTACACGATCAAAGCATTTTGCTGCAAGACAATGATGTTTCTGTGATGGAAAGAGATGATGATATTAACATGACCACTGGAGATGTTCAAGATTTTACCACGATCACGGCTTCCGCTTTCTTTAACAACAACTCTTATTACTGTGGTTCTGGGTTTAAAAATACTTATATCTGTATGTGATTTGGATAATCAGCAATTTGGATAGGCCTACTTGGAGTTCTGAAAATTTGAGTTCTTCTGTACTTGAAAGGCCCACACCTTTTTTTTAGGATTTCAACTATCTAATTTAAGGGTACCTTCTTCAAAATAACAACTAGATGGCCTTAGATGGTGTTCAGTAAACGAGCATTCTTGAAAATCCAGTACAGTACTGCTGAAGTCCTGTACATGCTTTTAGTCTTTGTCTTTATATATGCTTTGACATGATGGTACTTTAGACCTGATGGAACAGGCCTTTTTACGTTAGGAATACTAACAGAATTGTTCTCTTCAACCTTCTCTATGAAGAAGTCATGTTTTGTGACTTTTTATTGTGCAACTTTTTATTTTTTCCCCTTCAAGATTTCCTGTCCCCATTATATTGACTGTTGTGGCCCTATTTTGAATACCCTATAAAGAAAGGTTACGACAAAAAACTTTTATCTTAATATCCACTTCTAGGTTAGCTCTTCTAGGTAGTCTAGATAACAATTCTTATTAGATCATTTGATTGTTTTCCCTGTTTTACCTATCTAAATAAATAGTTTTGGATATCATACTGGGTGAGTTAAGCATGTTTGAATAGTACAAGAAGACTGTAATATATTTACATGAAAAAAGTTAAACAATATATCTTCACATAAGGTCCTTTTAAGTCTGAGGCAATGTGTAGAATCACTTTTATGCCAGTGCTACTAACTAACAGTTACTGAATAAGTACAAATTATTCCTTACAAATAGGTATTTGATAAATACTATATAAATATTTCATGATCACAAAAAAAAAGAAACAAAAGAGTTTATATCAGCGAATAAATCAAGCAAAATAAACTGTTTACGGCGAGAGATGAACAAAAATTACAAAACTACGCAATGAAGCAGTCCATAAAAGATTAAAATTGGACGTAAAATAATAAATGTTTATAGTCTGTATGATAGAACCTGTCTCCAGGCCCTGTCTACCAGGGGACTGACCAATGGTTTCAGGCTCGGGACCAGTCCTAGGTCTGTGATAATACTGTTTTTTTTTTTTTTACCAAACACAATTAATTGTTCAATTTCTTTACTGATGTAACTCAATAACTGATTTACCAAGAGACTATATTTATTATTCAAAAATATTTTAGAACTAAAAATTCATTTATTTTAAACTTTCCAAAATTGAATTGGTTTTGAACTATTCGTAATATTTTTTTATCACAAAGTAATAATATGCAGGTGATTATACAAAAGATAAAAAAATTACAAATATTTCCTAAAACACAAAATAAATATAAAAATAGTATTTAGATGGCAGTTAATCTTGTAAAAATCACTATAAAACCAATACAAAAGTCCTTTGATTAGTTGAAAGCTACACAAAGTAATATTAATATTATTATAAAATAAAACAAGTCCTACAAAATTTATTAACACAAAAAATTTACATCAACGACAACCAAAACCAAATTTAAATGGCAGAGTTATTACGCATGATACGGTTAGAACATCAAAACACAAAAAAGAACAAAAATACTTAAGTGAAATCTGCGACATACTTTCTGAAACTAAGGACAATAATTATAAAACTATTGTTTGAAACAAAAAATTACACACTTTTTACATTACAGTTTAACATTAAAACTTGGAACAGGACTAGATTGTAAAAAAATGTTCTTAAAAAAAATTACAAAAATGTTCCAATGCAAAACTAATTTATTAGTTGTATTAAAAATCAAATAATTCTACTTGAAAATTGTCTATAGATTTTTTAAAGGAAAATTTAAGTGTAACAGAAACTTAAAAAAATGTAAATATAAATAATCATTACAAAATGCATTGTCTACAAATAATGGGCCTGGACAAATTTAATAAGGCACAAAAACCAAAGATTTATTTTTAAAAGCTTCAACTAAAAAGAAAGGGTTGAAGAGAGAATTTGGAATTCAATATTTACAATATTTCAAGGGAATCTTTGATACATTTTCTATACAATGAAAATAAACTGAAAGGGCAATACAATATAGAATTCAAAATGGGGTGGATTTTTACAAGTAAATATTGTACCTATAAAATTTGGAAATCTACAGATAAGTTAGGGGAAAACAGGTTCAATCTGACCTCGAAAATCAGCATAGTTTCATCGTCAAAGTCAAAATCAATATCATCGTCCTAAAATAACGCAAGCATGGAAAGAAACATGAGTAAATTAACACATTTCTATTAAAAACTTTTTTGATACCCAGAATAACCATATGAATAAACCAACTAAAATGTACACCAATATTTTGACAGACTTAAAGTAAAATAAAAAAAATAACAATAAAATAAATAAATAACCATATCGGAACTAGATAGTAGAGAACGAGTATAAAACAAATGAGCAATATCTGAATTTTATATCCAAAGATAAAACGGGTAAACTAAATTCTAGAAAAAATGCTGCTTCAATCTTTGTAAAGTTTGTAAGTTTACTAAATACAATTTTAAAGCATAAGCGTAGCTAGCAGTAGGCCTATAAATAATCTAGAATACCCTTATCGTATATACGGCACTTAAGTTGTATTAAACTAGCAGCACACACTGGACTTTGATAAATGTAAAACAGTTCTTACGCAAAATACTCTCTACGGGCCTAAAATGCCATTTGTAGCTCATTCCATTCAACAGAAAAATGTAATCACATACATTCCCCTGGTGAGATAAAGAATAGTTTGTTCCATAAGATGGTTGGTGATTGAGCTATTTAATAATTGAAACACCAGACCGTTTTGTACTGTAACAATAGTCGCAGTTACTAATGGTTAATAATGAGTGATCGTGGATAATCTAAATCGCGGATAATACTTTTTGTAATCTGCGCTATAATAACGCAATATGACATTTTATTGGTACCACTTAAGTTTTTATATTAAGACTAGAATTTTAATAACTGCTGAAATGGTCCCTGCATATGCATATTATAATGGATTATGTAAAATATGCAGTATTAGAATGTGAAGCTAAGTGTACAAAAGGGTGATTAGCTCTTTGGACACACTTTGCACATGGAAAAAAAAACAATGCAGATAGAAATGAACTCATATTCAAGTTATAGAAAACAGTCATAATTATTTTCGACAAAAAAGTATCAAATTTAATAACATTTATGATATAAAAACTTGTTTCCTAGAAGCATAGCTTGCAGTTTGATAATACAGTCCAACCTCAGTATAACGAATCTGAAGGGACCGAACTGAATATTCGTTATATCAAGGATTTCGTAAAAACGAGGTTCGTTATATAGAGGTTATGTTTGCAGGAATTTCGCTAAGACGAGGTTCAGAACCAGCGTCGGTCAATATAGGTCGGGATTAGTCATCATTAAAACACAATTAAAGTAGCATAGGCTACTATACTTTACAGTACAGTGTTTACATTGTACAGAAGAACCTAAATTATCCGGCATAATAAAGTGGAGGGATCTTGAATATTGCGCAATCATGACAATGGCATTGACCTTGGTACAGGTTAAGAAACTGTAAGTTTAAAATCACAGCTTGTTCTAACCCTCCTAAAACCTAGCCAAACACTGTATTGCGTAGTCATGTCATAGTCATAAATCATGTAAAGAATAAAACAAAACAGTAGTATGTAGAAAGTTTTGTAAGCTACTGCTCGTGATAGGCCAGTAGGCTACTTACAGTACAGTACCGGTACTGATTTATCACAACAGATGACAGGAATGTCAATAATAATCATTAACTATAGCATTGGTGTTGCTAGTTGAAACAAATCGTATTGAAAACAATACAGTAAATTATTAGATAAGTCATTATAAATGTGTATAATCAATAGCCAACTTAAAGATAATAAAAACACTCGAAAAAGGAATGTTAAAATAACGATGTTGCTATTCTTTCTCTTTGGTTTTGTTTTTATATTCTTTCTTAGGTTTCTCTTTATCCAAAAATTGTACAATTCACCATAGTTACTTATCGCCCGATCACAGCTTACTAAAACATTACGTCGTCATCAGTCCTCAGTGAATGAAATCAGTTTTCAGTTGCAACATAGCGCGCGCAGCGACAGCAGACAGCGATGTGTAAAACGGAGCAGACGAATGTTAGCGCAAGCAATGACGTCACCTTTCCATTGCATTTGATAAAGAAACAGATTTTTCAAAAACAATAATGGGGTGGGGGATTTGTTATATCGAGGGAAAGACGTAGACAATTCGTTATGCAGAGGTGAAATTCGCAATGTAGAGGTTCTGACAATGATAAATTCGCTATATTGAGGTGTCTTATTTTAGCCGAAATCACGAAAAATTCGTTAAATCAAGGTCGTTGTTATGGTTTGTTCGTTATGTAGAGGTAAAATATACATTGTGTCTTATGGAGAGTTCTAGGGGATTTAAAAAAATTCGTTATATCAAGGAATTCGTTGTATCGAGGTTCGTTATATCAAGGTTAGACTGTACTCTGAAAAGTCCGACAGACTCGATAATCTAATTTTGTACTAAATTATTCATTGACCGATGTTTGTGCAGTTTTGGAATTTCATTCGTGTTACGAAGAGAATATCAGATTTTTCTGTTTCTCCATTTTGATTCCACGGACCTAATCAAGAGAGGATACGATTTCTAACATTGAAGACGACAAGAATGCTGTGGAAACTATGCTTACCATCAGCTGTGACAAATCATTGTCTGCAACTACACTGATTTGTGGGTATAAAAGGTTTTAGCTTGACTGCAATAGCGGTTTGATATACATTTAATAATAAGTTATATGGGAAAAGGTCTTGCCAGACAGTTTGAAAAAGAGAAACAAAAGACAATCACAGACTTTACGCTATTTATTCTTTTCCCCCCTTTAGTTTACCATGTTGTTGTACTAATTGTCAAAGAGTACATGATAAGGCCTTTAAATTTTACCTACATTTAGTTTTTTTGCTAGATTTATTAGTCCAAGTTTTTCAGTAATCCATCAACCCTTTTGCCCCATATGTGTCGGGTCATACACAGTCTACTGTATTGTGTTTATTAACTAGTATTTTTGATAATAACTTAAGCAATGAAGTGATAGAAAACAAAACATCAAGAATAAAGAATTTATTACAACAGTATGTACAATATGTTGACGTCATTAGGCCTTGCTAAAAAATAAACAGCCAGACGTCATCAGGCTTGTAATACTAATAGGCCTAACCCATAACCTAAACAGCTTTGGTTTGTGACAGAAAAGTAAAAGTTTCAAATAAAAAAAAAAATACTTTGTACAGAGTGGCCACAGAACTCATGAAAAAAAATTGAGCATTTTTCCCGGCAGCAAAACCTGGTTTTCACGGTTGGCAAGTTTACTATTTTACTAGGCGTCTTCAGGTCCCTGACGTTTTTGAATAGGCTCAAGCCCACAGTTGCCTAACCTGAACCACATTCATGGTTTAGGTTAGAAATGATATTGAACCAAGCTCGGGTCAAATCAACCCGTATTTTTCCGTGATTGCCAGAAGCTTTTGCAGAGATGCGCGAAAACTGAAAATTTGGTAGTGATTTAGGATGATTTTTACAATCCTGCCACGTCCGTGGGAGACGATGATTGTTGTGTCATAGAAGATGATTACAATTTTGCCGTGCAATTTTGGGAAGATGTTCTCAATTTTATTGTGACCGCAGACAATGTCACAGTCGGGTTTTCCATGCCCTAAGGGAGTTTATTGACTTTTTACGAAAGCAAATACATTATGTTGCTGCATGTTAAACTCGACAAAATTAATCCTAAATCCATACAACAAAAATTCATGTATAACTCTGAACTGATTTCCCGGAATTCCTGGTCTGTGGTCACCCTGTTTATAATAATTAATCTAAGAGTACTTTAACAGTCAAATTAAAGATAAACGTTTCATTGTCTAATGAAAAATCAAAAATATCTTCCAAGTTTTGATGATACAACAGATGTCAAAACAGATGACAGAACCGACCAACACAACCAACCTGAAAAAATAAAGTTACTAGTCTTGAAAAAACTTCACGACTGAATCAGAGCACAGTATGAAATGAAATGAGACATTATTCACTTTCACAATAAGCGCTTACCAAGTTTATTGAAATATAACTACAATACAGTGGACATAAGGTTGGTTTGGAGTTGGATTTTACAAATAAAACTAGTTTATATTATCTTGAACAGTTATGTTAGTGTACAGAAGAGTAGTTAGTTTGTGTGAACTTTTTTGTAACATAAAAAGTAACATAAAAAATATTTATGTTACTTTAATCTGTTATACATTCACAACAGAATATTGGTGACTCTTTTGTTTACTATTATCGTTATCTCCTCGGCAGGAGATTAATTAAAATTAAAATAAAATTAATTCCTTCCCCAATAACCTCAAGTAAAACCAAAGTGTGTCCAAAGAGGTGTGTTATTGTGTTGCCACTCAAATGTAATTTCTCTGTGATTAACCAAAGCTTCAACATTTGACGACATTTCAGAGCACACGTTTAGTGAACAAACACTATTCTAAAAATCACATGCCAAACCAAACATAAAAACATGCAAGAAAATTCAACACAAACAGATTTCCAATCAAGATCAAAAGAAAGTTTCTTTTCAATGTGGAAAAAATTACTCAACTTATAAACCAAACTAAATGAAACTATAACGAAGGAAAAGTGATTTTGGGTTTAACACAACAAAACAAATATTTTTGCAATCTTTTCCACTTTTTACCAAAAGATCTAAATTAACTTGGCGTTGTACAAGGTCGATTCCCGAAATGTTGAAAAACATTACTCCTACATTATAAAATGAATATAGGGTGTCAAAAAGTCATCAATAGCAGTTAATTGTTTTGAATCTCGTTTCTGAAATATTACAAGTAATTTTATATGAAACAAAATTGACGACTTCATCTAGACTTTATTTATATAGATATTTTCAGTTACGTTAGCAATTGTTATGACACTGGTTGTGTTAACGTTTTGTAACCATTGAAACATATACTATCTTATCTTAATTGAATGTCGTTAAAACACACAGACTGGCCCCCAAAGCTAGAACACATAATAACCCCAATCATGCTATTAAATCAGTTCATATCAACCCTCGAGTTTTGAAAACTATGGTTGACTTTAGATATTGCAACTTTTCTCATCATATAGATGTATTTGAAGCCAGTATCAATGTGCGTTTCATGTCCGGTCATGTTTGATTGGGCTTTCTAGTTTAAGTAGCACGGACAAGCTTAAGTTTGCAAATAGAATGATTTATTTAGTTTAAACAGTTCTAAAAGTTGGGCAAATGACAAGAAATATTTAACATTAGAACGCTCTCTGAATCAACAAGACAGAAATACATCAAACTGTCTTCAGCTGATTCCTTTGGATGATAAAAGTAAGGGTCAAAACACAGTGGCACCGAAAAGGGTGCTACGTTACCAGAGTACAACAACCGCTTATTGAAGCGATAAAATTGGAACCAACATTGTAATTTATTCCCACAATTTCACAGTGGTGTTGGGTGGAATTCTGCACCGTTAGCTAGAAGTAAGTGATCTAGGTGGCTAGGACAAAAAATTGAATTTCCAATTGTTTCAAAGCGGAGAGCTGAGATAAACTTATTTCTTAGTTTTTATTAACTTTTACTAATAGTGTATACAAAAATGGTACCAATATTAATTTTATTTAATCTTATATAAAAAAGTAATGTTTGGGTTTAACAGAATCACTACCTAAAGACACATTTAATGTACACACGAGTGAGTTGCGTAATAGAAAACATGTTAAATGTCTTCACTTTTGTAATGATATTCAATCGTTTTGTTTGCATACGCTTAAAACAAAATTTTATTCCAAATTTAACGCACTAAGGTCCTTTGTAGTCGCGCCGACTAGCGACCAACTAGTTGGAATTCTAGGTATGAACCCGAGCTTATCTGCTAGTAATCAGGGAAAACATTCATCACGGTAATTTGCTAAAGTTAATGGTGCCACAGTGTTTTTACCCTCAGAATGTTCAGGTTGTAAGGTGCAATAAACTCTTCTATGGCAGACACTAACCTTGCTTGCGGTGGGATGCCTATCTCTGTTGGGTGAGACGACGATTTCATGGCCAGTCTGCAAAGATCCAACAGGGGTTGACTGCAACACAAAGCATGGATACAGTAAAGAAAATCCGGACCACCAAGGCATGCTGCAACATTTCTTTTGAAATATATTTCACTTGAAACTGAGTTTCAGTCCTGATTCATCGATGAGTTATGTAACAGACTCCATTCTTTAACATGAAAGCCAAATGGTGAACAAAGTTTCAAACAAAGTTGAAACCTGTAATGGAGACTTGCCTTTGAATCTGAAGTCTTCTAGTTCGTATTGAGGGGTCAATGCAATAAGTTACTTATTGCCAAATGCTTACAAAAAACTACAAATTAATGCTTTCCAATAAAGGTGAGTGAGAATAACAGGGTTTCTCATTGGTCTTAGACATAACATTTATAAAATATACCACTGGAAAGAAACTTTAAAATGAAAGAGACTTGTACGAGAGAGAATGTTTACGTTTTGTAAAACAAAATGGTTTTAACAACCTTTGAACAAGTTAGTTTTAGCCTTAAAATACATCTTTGTAAATTCCCTCATATCCTCTCAAAATAACTTTGGATAACACAATTAATATGTTTAAAATTTTCATTGCCTAATTGATTTTTACATTTTTTAACTTTAGCGTGCAAAAGACCTGGTTTATGACCAAACCATCATTAAAACTTTAAAAATGCTTCTCTCATGTTGGAAAAATAACCAAACTCATTACACATTTAATCTATGTATTAAACCATGGTTTTTAAATTACAATCATAATAAATACCATTATGGAAACTACAACAAAACTCAAAACAACAAAATTAAACCCCATATTCTAAATAAGAATACTAAAAAATAGAGCAATAAAACTTAAAACAAAGTCACTGGACATTAAAATCATTTTAAAACATTATACAGTGATACACTACCTTCTCAGGTCCACTAGGAGTAAGAAAATAAATCTTTTAGGCAAGTATAAGTTAATATGCACATCAATTTAAAGGTCTTTATTAGTAAAATACAATGTTGCAAACCCAAACTTATACGCAAACAGCGTCAAAAATGACCTTTTGAAATTTTCTATTTTGGGGCACCCGCTAGAATCACTAGAAAATAAAAAATGTAAGCTTAGCTTGATATGCATGTCAAATTAAAGATCTTTATTACCGGAATACAATAACCACAAACCCGGACTGAAACAATAAACTGAGTCAAAAATGGGAGCTGTTCAAAGATTCAAAATTGCTTATCCAAGAAGTCTTTCAAAGGTTGTATTTTAGATTCGGTTGTACGTTTGAGTTAGGTGCAGATACACTTATACATATACAGCCAAAGGCAAGGAGAAACTTGCTTAATCCAAGGTTGGTTATGGAGAAAGGAGAGGGTTTCTACTGTAATGAAAATAAATCACATCCATTCAACACAAACTGTACAGTCACAATACTTACATAACACCCTTACTGTGTGTCAGGGTATAAGGGCTTCTTAGCTAATGTATTTAAAACAATAGCTAAAGTAGTCTACCAATAGTCTGCAAAAGTTACTCAATCACTTACTTACTACTTACCTTGTCAGATTTTGTTTTGCCTACATTAGACGGAGGTGCGTTGCGCATGAGGCGTAAATCGTCCATATTAGATGGCTACATGCAACATACAACAAGCTCATGCCACAACAACCCAACAACTGATAACAGGGTATCCAGCGTCCCATCAAAATAAAATTCAAGGCCATATCCAGGTTTTTCAGGTTAAAAATTCAAATTTTATGAACAAAAATTGAGCCACTCAAAATGAGCTTAACTTAGTTTCAGTCCCCAACCATGTTACCGTATCATACAATCGCAACAATATCCAAGATCATCTCCAGCACACCGATTATTTTTTGTGATCGCAGCAACATCTGAGATCATATTGCCATCGTGGCGAAATGCGTAATGACTTCCGTGATTGTGGTAACAGCCGTGATCATTTCATGGGATCGCAGAAACGTTAGTTATTTGTGATGGTGATTTTTAACTTCACAAATTGAGAAAATTCAGTAATTATTCAAGCATTAAAATTTCCTCGTTCTTTAAACAATTCACGAATAATTCACAGATTTTTTCCGGTCATCAGAAAGCTCATACAATTCCCGGTTTTCAGGTCGGCTGGACAACCACCAGATATATCATGCAAACATGCAACACATCAGCGTTGAAACAAATCACCACACCATTAATCTAGGTTAGAGATATTGTTACTTTACAATAATAGTAAGCAATAGTAGTTCAATCTTTCCATCATTTACCATCTTGTGAGTCAACAGTGTAAGTGTAAATATATTATTACAAGTGTTAGAGATATATCTTTTTGTTTTTGCAGGTAATAATAGTCAAGAACTCTCAATTTTTTGGTAATAGGTGAAATAATACTATTATTTTTGTCACATGTTACTTCCACGCCAAGTATGTTTCAGCTGGTCGCTGTTAATGGAAATACACAATCAGTTTTATTTATTATTTCATCCTCGCTCATTCTAAAAGTTGATAAAAAATATTATGGTATTCTCAATAACGTAATCCATTACACTAGATTTCATACAGATTTTTAATATCCTATACACAGATTAAATCTTGTGGAAAGGACACCTTCTTATATGGGTAAAAGATTTTTTAACAATTTGCCTGGGTACTACAAATCTATAATAGGATTAGTATCTTTTAAAGATAAAAAAATTTTGAATTTTTGTTGGAAAAGAATTATTATAGTATTGATCAGTTTCTCGAAGACAAATCAATGTGAATTGTTTGTATTGTTACCTACTATGTATTCATTTTTACCAATATAAGCTAGTTTATTTTAGTATAGTTTGACAATGTCACCTGTTTTGTCTGGCTGTGCCAGAACATTAAAAAAAAACGTTTTGTGACAATAAAGATGACTTTGACTTTGACATTACCAGGCCATAGTCTGGGTATATTTAATTTATAATATTTAATATTTTATTTCTGAATAAATTTAAAATTTTTACAACTTGTTGCTATACATTTCCTAATTTTTAAGCTTACAGTCAAAATATAAAATAGCTCAAACAACCTTAGTAAAAAAAAACTAACATGCAGTCATGAAAACAGAATTTACTATGATCGTGAGTTGTGATACATGCTTCTATCAGAGACTTGTAAGGCCCAGCCACATCATGATTCCAGTGTATTTACCATGGTTTTTCCCGTCCAATCAAACTCAGAATCGTCGACGAAGCCTCTCCGCTCGAACAGGTCCTGGAACAGCTTGCGTAGGTACTCGTAGTCTGGTGTCTCGAAAAAGTCCAGCCTTCGGACATATCTCAGGTACGTGGCCATCTCCTCTGCAAGGCAAACATATAGTGTGAGAAATAGGAAACATAAGTGTAAGGCTAAGGAAACATAACATGTAAGACAGCAGAAACATAATTCGAGACATCTGAAACATCAAAGAAGATTTTAAAGAGAAAATTGTATGAAGATTGAAGAGATATAAAATTGCTCACCTACGGTTGTTATTCAGTTCCATTTCAGACAGTTAAAAGATTTTTTTTTATTTATCACGGATTGTTGTGTGACTTGCGAAAGATTGCCAAACTGAAAAGAGGTTTCTCAAAGACTCCCATGGTAGTATTAAAAACACCGATCTGCTAGCAAAATTCCCTCAACTTTTCTCGATTTTTAAAAGAAACTGATCGAAGCGAGCAGCTGACCTGAATAAATGTGCAATGTAATTCAAACTCCCTCAAAACACCTTATTTACTATACACTTCAATGGATATAAGTTTCTAATTGCAAAATGCAATTCATACATGACAGTATTAGCGGGAGCAATGATTTTCCCTTTCATTGTAATCAACTAAGAAAAATCTTTACACAGCTAGAATTGTGTTGGGAGAAGTAAAGAATACACTTCTCACTTGGTCGCAGCTGGAGCTTCATTGACAAGCCTTGTGTCATGAAATATGTTTAGCCAATAAAAGGATTAGCTGATTGACATGAATTGAAAGTATCTAGCATAGTGACGAGTGTTGTACCTGGGTGTCCCTCACACAACACCTCTATAGGTGTTGCTCGCTTGGTGTCCCCGATCTTCTGGTACCTCTCCTTGAGAGTGTCCGCCTTGAGGCCCTGCCAGGGGAGTGATCCTCGGAGGAAGTACATGAACATGTGACCTAGAGCCTCCAGGTCATCTCTCCGACTTTGTTCTGAAACATCACTTCGTCTCAATACTTGGCCACCATGTACCTTCCATTGTAATGTATAGGTGAAATGTTACTCCAATGATGGCGAGATTCATTACGGTAAATTCTTGACTATCCTACCTTCCCTGAACGGAGAGATTAAATACAGGGTGTCCCGGAACTCTCTACCAATATTTTAGGGCATTGTTCCTGGGTAAGAAACATATCTAAATATCATATTTAAATTGTCCGGAAGTCCTTATTTACTGAGATAGCCGCCATTTTGTTTTTTTCACTTATTAATTTTTTTCTGAAAATTGGTTAAACATACGAAGTTGAAACTTTGCACAAACATTTATAACAACTAGACAAAGCTACAAAAAAATTATGACGATTTTTCAAATTCATAAAACAAAATGGCGGCTGTTTAAAATTTTGTTTCTTAAATTACTCGAAAACCCTTGATTTTACAAAAGTTTTGCAAGAATAACCTTTTTAAGGCAATTTTATTACAAATCGATTGACACCTTAATCTTTAAGATCGGACGAGTATTAACTGAGATATGGCAGTTTTAGTGATACGTGACCGCTTTCAGCATGCGCTGCAACTAATATCCGGCGGTCACGTATCACTAAAACTGCCATATCTCAGTTAATACTCGTCCGATCTTAAAGATTAAGGTGTCGATCGATTTGTAATAAAATTGCCTTAAAAAAGTTATTCCTGTAAAACTTTTGTAAAATCAACGGTTTTCGAGTAATTTAAGAAACAAAATTTTAAACAGCCGCCATTTTGTTTTATGAATTTGAAAAATCGTCATATTTTTTTTGTAGCTTTGTCTAGTTGTCATAAATGTTGTTGCAAAGTTTCAACTTCGTATGTTTAACCAATTTTCAGAAAAAAATTAATAAGTGAAAAAAACAAAATGGCGACTATCTGAGTAACTAAGGACTTCCGGACAATTTAAATATGATATTTAGATATGTTTCTTACCCAGGAACAATGCCCTAAAATATTGGTAGAGAGTTCCGGGACACCCTGTATAGTTGTCCTGTGGCTGTCCTGTGACATTACACTGAAGTAGGTGTAACAAGATAATACCTTTCGCTTTGCAAAATACATGCTTGTCTATAGATTTCTGCACTTGACAGTACTTTCACATTTTTCAAATGCTGTATAAAAATACAACACATATCTTGAATTGCAGACACCAGCATATGTACATATTACACCTAATGTATAAAATTGTCAGTGTGAGAGTGAATGTATATTGCTTTATCTTAAATTCCTTTATTGTAGTAGTGGAGATTTTAAAATGTGGTAAGGGTTAACAAACATAAATGCTTTTTTGAATTTTAAGTTTGCTGATTACAGTGCATAAAGTAACTAATATCCATTCTGAAGGATTGAAAGGTGAAATTATTGTTTTCAGTCACATTAAATCTTTCTGCTTATCCGATCTTACCGTCCCCAGTTTAGGTAAAATAACAGGACTTATCTGAGTTGGGATGGAAAACTGATTAAGGGAACTTACCAATAAACTGTGCCTTAGACGAACAACACTATGGAATTAAGTAATATTGTAGACTACAAGAGTAGAAGTTTTCCACTTACCTTTCCCTAAATGTGTGTTGATGCTCATATACCTTGCTGTGCCAGTCAGACTTTTGTGTTCCCGGTATGGTATGTGTTTATTGGTCTCTAAATCTATGTATTCTTTAGCTAATCCAAAGTCTGGAACAAACATAAGTCTTAAGTCACATATATGGTAATCACTTATTAAATGGTACTGAGACATATCAAAAAAATAACTCAAATAAATATTTTAGTAATTTTCCCAGCATTAAAAAACATTTTGAATTACGAGTTTTTCCAAGCAATTTTAATATTGTTAAGCCCTGTTTACTTAAAGCCAGCAGGCAGGCCTCTAGTGTATTTCTAGTTAACTGAGGCAGATAACCTGCTCGCCAACTGGCTTCTTATAAGCGGCTTAGGCAAGCACTCTTTTAACTACTGGTACCTGGATTTTTACCAACATAAGCTCCAGACTAAAAAATAACTAACCAATAATTAAAGAGGGAAAATTATGATCATTAAAGTTATATTTATAGACCCTCGGAAAACACAGAAATGATAAGAAGAAAAACAAAGTGTGTCTAAAATTGCACGAGTTATCTACATGACCTTAGAGATAAAGAATGACACTCAATAGTTTGTGATACCCTCAATGAAAACGTTTGAAAAACAACTCTTCATCACAACGAGCCTATTCATTTTTATAATGGCAGTCAATGGTTGAATTGGAGCAATTGGAATTTAATTGGGTCACTAATTGGATTAGAAAGATTCAACAGTCCAAATCGTACAAACTTTGTTTACAATACACCTCATTAGGTTATGTTAGCGGTTAAATTGACATTACAGAAGACGTTTTCACCTCAGAACCTGAACCTAACTATTGAAACAATAGTTAACAAAAGTTAATAACAAAATACAATTCCGTCTGAAACCAAAGAACACATTCCAGAACCACTCTACAGTATTCCGGACAACCCAGGCAGTGTTTAAAAATGTCAGTCTACAAATTAGGAATTTAATTTTAAACTAAACATTTAGGTTAAAGCCCGTGGCGGCACAGACCAATCAATACCTCGCGTTACACAAAATAACGGTAGAACTTAAACTAGTTTAGTGAAAGAAATGTCAGTTCATAGGTACATAGGGTGTTCGTAAGTAAACAGCCGGGATACTTTTAATCCTTTCATACCGTCAATCTACTGTTCTTTTTCTCTTGATCACAATTTAAATTAATAAATTGTACCAATGAGCGACAAACAGTTTCAACCCAGCAATGGTGACATGATCACATTGACGGATTAAGGTATTTTAGTATTATCACGATGACCAGACCTAACAATACCTGTAAACCCAAAGCCAAAAATACAGTTCTAAACTTGACTACTATGGTATAACTTTAAAATACACTTGTTGAGTTCTAAGTAAATGATTGGATACATTACTTGTCATTACTTGAGGCAACAAAAGCTGAAAGTCAAGTGCATTAAGCTACAATTCACTCACCTATAATATGAATTATTCTGTCCTTTTTCGTACTGGTTCGACCTATTAAAAAGTTTTCAGGTTTGACATCTCGATAAATAAGATGCCTCCCGTGGACGTATTCTATTCTGTGTAACTGTAGAAAGACAAAAAACAATTTAGTAAACTTCACGACTCCGAAAGATTAAAATTTTATACATTAAAAAATTGTTCTAGATTTCCAAAGTTAACAAATACACAGTTAAAATACATAAAAGGGAGCTTTTTAATTAGATCCTAACTGTTGGAAAGTAATAAGAGTGAAATTATCCTTGGTTTCGGTAACAAACTTAAGCCATTCTAGAAATACTTATTATGAATGTTAATGGTAGCATCGCATGATCCTAATACTTAACACCTTGCCTAAACGTGTTGCATATTCATTACTACATTCAGCAAACTGTAACGAGCTTTGAACCTTTCACTACCTTAACTTTGTAATAACATTTTTTGCAACAATTAATTTGTTGTTTATAGATGTTGTTCAGAAACATACAATTTTTTCAGTTCGTTATGTATCCCTGTCACTGAATTTTAATCCATGAGGGGTGCTAAATGAGGGGTGTCAACTTTTGAACTTAGATGTGTACACTAATCACAAAAACTTTTCAGGAACTAGAATGCAATGATTGTTATCTACAGAAAAAAAATCTAAAGGTTATTAGATCTAATTAGCTAAAGATTATTTAATCATTGTGGAAATGTGTGTATAATTTTTTGACAACTATAAGCAATGCAATTAAAATTTCAAAAAATCTACGAGTTCTGAGGTAGCCTACATGGACCGACAACTTTAAGAATTCAGTATTTACGAACATATCTTGAAATTAACACATTTTAGGATTCTTAAGTAAAAACCAATTACTAACGATAAAATTTAAAATTATGCATTCAGAAAAAAAAACTGATAAGATGTAATGTTAATGATTAACATTCGGCCAAAAGACGTTGCTGATATTAAAATAACAATACATATACGAGATATTATTCTGAGAGTTACGAACCATACACTAAAATCAAGTACAACCAAGTGTAGTTTACCTATGGTACAGCAAATGTGGCTGTGAAATCTTTTAACAATCATATCTGAAAATAGTTAATCTAACACTATAAACGATTTCACAAATGATAAAGCCAAAAAGATCGTGGTTTATCCATAGTTCTTTACCCATACAACAACCAAACCTGTACACAGCTGAACCACATTCGGAAAATGAAAAAATCACAGTACAAGGAGAAAAAAACAGTGTAAACAAACTCACAAGCTGTGTGGCAATCATGAGGACAGTCTTGAGGGAAAAACGGCGACCGCAGACGTCAAACAGATCCTCCAAGCTGGGGCCGAGCAGCTCCATGACCAGGGCGTTGTACTTGCCACACGGGCCGAAGTAGAACACATCGGGGATACCGTCTGACAACAACACCATAGAGTCAACAACATACAGCATGGGACTGGGAGAGATAGGTGGGATACTGGGACGGGAACCAGGAGAGAAATTATATGGAAAAACAATCTGGATTATCAGAAACTTAACAAATATAAATTAACCCGTACAGCAGAGGTCTTATAGGTAGTTACAGCAGAGGTAGTTGTGAAAAATGTTACTGGAAACATCATGCTTATACCATCCTTTCGATTTAAATTTCAGTACATTTCACTTTTTTATGTCCCTTTCTGCTTTTTACTAAGATGGATTAATATTTTGACATAATTTTAATGAATTTGGTAAAGTCACACTAGTAACAAAAACTAGTGTGAGAATAAATTAAAAACTAATGAAGCAGGTATGGGTTTTAGCTGGTATCACTGAAACTGTCATTTGAAATAAGTGGTGGTGCCATTTGACACACTTAATGCTGAATGGTGAACGTGGACAGAGTATAGGTCACTTTGAAAGAAATTACTACTGTCGTATGTTGTCATCGAGGAAGACAACCAAACAAGGAATAGATCAGGAGGAAAGATGAGTAGAGGTTGACAACATTAGATTCATACAATATAGACACAACTCTAATTTAATATGAGTGAAGGAGGTTGAATTATTAAGCTTTGTTAATCACTAACACCTGGTTTCTTGGTCAGGACCATATTTACTACAAACCCTGTAGGATATGTCAAGTACAAGTTTAAAAACAATTATAAATCTTCTGACATTTTACAATATTGAACCAGCGACCTGTTGATTACCGAACGAGCACTAAATCCACTTAGTAGGATGTGTAAGGTAGTGATGTCATAAGTATTATTGGGAATGGATAAAATTAAGGTAGTTCGGTTTTCGTCTGTATGTTATATTTTGCATCCCTCCCCTCACAAAGAGAATCTGCGTAGCTCTGAAAGATCTTATTACAAAAACTTCTCAATTACTAAAAGCAGTGTTCTTTTGACGAAATCAACTTTTCTCCCTCACAAAAATCTGCATCAGCCTCATCTTGGTCAACTTGTTTGTCTGGACTGATTGAGACACAAAGGACATTTCAAATATTTCTTTCACACTGAAACAACTGAACAGATTCCCATGAGATATTATCTAAGTGTGTTGAACAATAGTGTGACTTTCCTCTGCTAAACTAGACTTGGTCAAAATAAAAATATAACATCACACACAACCAAACAAGGAAAAAGCCAGGAGTAGGCGGTTAGATGTGCAAGCTGAAAACTAAAGTAATCAGTGGTAAAGCAAGATTTTTCTATGTCTATCAGTGGCTTCAATTAGTGAGATATTTTGTTGTAAACAAATTTCCTACACAAATTAAAGTAAACCTTATCTTAGTGCCAATTTCAAACCTTTTCCACACCAAAAATTTTCCCATAAAAATAAACCCAACGATTAAAGAATAGTGCAATGTAGCTAAATATACTCTACAGCAGACTGTTACACTTTTTTGTATTATGATTCAGTAACGTAAACAACATTTATGTTTCTCTTTCTATTTTCAACAAGTAGTGCATATTTACGTTGTTATAAAATAGTTGTAAGTTTGAAGACCAAACGTATCTTCATTCATGAGCAAATTTCCTGTTGTGGGAAGGATCCATCATAACCTGAATAATGTTTAAAAACCTTCATTGTAAAATACACTTCCATAACATTAGTAATTGATTTTGTTTTACCCACAGTCAAACATTAATATCCTTCCACAACATTTTTCATCTAATTATACACGATACAACTGTTTCGCATTTTATATTCCTTATCCGGATGAATACAGTGAAGAAAAAAGTATTAAACCATTGAATAGAAACTGCCTGGCTCAACAATATTACACACTTTATTAAAAAGGGGATTACTCGTTACTCAAATAATGTCTTAACAAATTATTTTAATGAAAAGACGTTCAGCTAAGTAAAAAATTGTATAGAGGGTCCAAGTAAAGAACTTTGGGGAAGAACATTCCAGATGGGAAAACGAAAAGAGGAGTGGAGATGGTTAAGAATAAACTGAGATTTCAAAATAAAAATGTTTACTAGAAAAAAACCCCAAAAATGCATCTATGACCATACAAATGTGTAAATATAGATTGTGACTACCAGGCATATAAGAAATAATAACACAAATATTATCCTTGTATGATCAATATGATGAAATTGGAAAATGATCTTGTTAATCTACGTCGGTTGTCGAGCCAACACGAACTGCAACTAATCCTTTGTTTTGCTTAACGCTTATCTCATGTAGGCTTAAATTTTACACTAAATGATCAAGTAAATTAAACTTTAAAACAATTTTTCAGCAATTGAGATTTGCTGCGATGGGAGTATTATATTACAACATTCATATAATTCATGTTTTCCCTGTGATAAGAATGTAAATATTGTTGGACAATATTGCAATTTTAATTTACTTCATTTGAATGTAATTAATTACAATTATTGTTGGTGTTTTGTAACCAAAATATTTTATTCGGCCTATGCCTGCCAATAACAATTACTCAACGTAACAAACGAGAACATCTATCCAAGAGTTTAAGAGAAGGCCAACCTGTCACAGCGAGCTGAGGTTTATTTATTTTAAGAGTGGATTACACAACTGACTCATCACCGATTGGCCGATCACAAGACCGAGTTAACGCATTCATGACCACGCCTGGACTTGCTACATATTCAACTTCACGGACCTACAACAAGCCTATTGCAAACTCAAAATGTCCATCAGATTGATCTAAACGTAACGTTTGAATAATTGAAACATGGATATAAAACAGTTTAGTATTAAGAAAACAAATTAAAGGAGATTTTTACAAAGTAAAAAAGAAAAAGAAAATCAAGAAATAAGTTTTAATTTGTTATAAAATAAACTATAAAGTGTAATAAAATAAAGAATTATGCATCACTAACTTTATGATAAAATCTAGAAATTAATTATCTGTGTTTGAATGGATATGGATCTCTCATAAATATCTCAAACTAATGTAGTACTTAATGAAATAACACCAATTTTCAACACAAATGTTCATGTAGTACACAACCACTTAAATTCTTCAAACCGATAGATTAAATAAGACAGGTTGGATTGATTTGTAAAAAATGTTTGTTATCATCAGCAATCCAATTAAATAAAAATAAAAATGTAAATAATTTACTCATTATAGTTGGCAAAACCTAATAAAACGTGGCCAGCAAATAAATTAGATGTAAGAATGGCTATTGGTGTTTATTCTTCAAAAACATCATGTACCGGCAAGCCAATTACTGGAGCTGTGCCATAATCTTGCCATAATCATTCTAATCATTTTGCCTATTCTTATTTTTATTTAAAATAACAAACAATCAGTTAGTTTCAGTCATCTGTGTTTGAATGTTTCTTGCCAAATCTCCTGTCACTCTTGTTAATGTATTTGTTTTTAAATAAATAAATTATAGTAATTAAATTCAGCTAAAAAAAACATATGCGAGTTAAAAACTAAATGAAAAAATAACTAATAAACAAAACTACAAAACATTAAAAAATTTAAAGTTGAATGGAAATCAACTAAACCAAATTTAAGTAGGCTACAGATTTAAAACACGTTTTTACCAACTACATTGAAAGTTTATTTTAATAATTCACTATAAATTATAGTTAAAAAATAATTTAAATAAATACATACAGTACTAACAAACAACGTACGGATCGTAGGAGAGAGAGAGTGGATGTAGGACTTACGAGTTGGATGGCAATCATAAGGATGGTTTTAAGGGAGAATGTTCGTTTACAGACATTAAACAGATCTTCCAGACTCGGACCAAGCAGTTCGAGGACTAGAGCGTTATATTGGTTATCACTTGTTTTTCCGTACGTGTAAACCGCTGCCATTCCTTCTGGGAAGTTGGCTGACCTGTTTCCACCAGAACGTCCAACTGTACACATAAAACTTGACTAATTTGTTGACTTTAAAACTGAGATTTAAAAACTGTCAAAAAATATTAATAACTCGATAACCAACAATAACCCTGCATACAGGATTTTTTTATAAGTTCCTTAAAACCTACATCTGTGTTAACTACGCTCCTGCGAGTGACACTGGTGATTGCACAGTTCATGTTTGCCATTTATTTTGACTTTGCGCTACTTGCAACCATCATCAAGAGTCATACACATCTGGAGACCTGATAACTAGACAGCACTGAATTGAATTCTATGTGATTGCGTAATACATTTCTTTGTATCCACAATATCTTACTAATATTATAAATGTGAAAGTTTGTGTGTTTGTTTGTTTGTTTGTTTGAAGTTCAATCACGCATCAACGACGTTTGCGGATTGTGCTGAAATTTGGCATGATGATACCTCACATTCCCGATTAACATATAGGCATATTCTTTTCTCAAGAATCCTTTCGGGCTCCGCCCCAGTGGCTCTGCAGTTCCCCATGTTAACCTTACGAGTATTCATATTTAAAAGGAATTAAAGAATTTAGTCAGCTGTTTCAATTAAAACGTTGGTTCTATGATATGCAAAAGCATTAAAAAGTTATAAGATTTACCAACAGGGTGCAGCGCTATTATTTTTTTTTGCATTTATGATAACAGCTTATTTGAACTATAAGCAGCAACAAAAAACTGAGATAAATGGTAGTTGTGTAATACTATGGTATACCGTAAATTTTAAGAAGCAAATTTTATCAAACTGTGTCCTCCCCCATTGCAAATGCAAAGCTCGAGTATGCAATAGGTAGGCGTTTTATACTTATATGCCAACCCCGTACGAAGGACGGGTGCTCTGCTAGTTTTTTTATAAAAGTTTTGGAAAAATAAAACAAGTTGATGAATTATGCACTTCAAAATTTAAATCCCCCTATTCGCACAATATCTCAAATTAAATTCAACACATTTGGGAAATACAGCAGGAAGGGGTGGGGAAGATATTTTAATTGCTCCAACAAAAAATCCTAAAACCAGAGTTTACACCTGGCCTTATACTACTGCTAAATAAGAGTTTAAAAACAAACTTTTGAACTTTAGCTGAATTACATTCTTCAACACTAAATGTCCAAATGATGGCCTTCTACAACACAGAGCTGGGATTCTTCTCAGACAGTTGGGAACAACAAATCATCAATACAGAGTACAGTCCAGTCATTTACTCTTATCTGTAAGTCATTAACAGTTGCTTATGTAACAGTCTGGCTGATGTTGGCAATATCACATTCCCATCTTCCTCATTCAATATAGATTACCATCTTTATGATCTCAAACACCAGAAGTTGGCTGACGGTATTTTGTTGTTTGACAGACCCATAAGAACTAAAAATCATTCATTCATTCATTCAATCATTCATTCATCATTCAAAAACTTTTAGTTCACCCTCTCCTCAGTAATCTGGACTTGTTAACACGTTCACTGCGGGCGTATCCGATCGGATACGGGCCGAGCGCTGTTCAGGTGCTGCCGTAACCGATCGGATACACTCGGCAATGCCTTTCGTATATCATAGTTTTTGCTCTAGCGTCAGTCGAAGTCAGACCTATTCCACGTTAGCGTGTAGTGGGTGACTTGCTTTTTGTTGTGTTGTAGGTTGGTAGTAAAATTTCCCCATAAAATTCCCGTCTGGCAAACTTAAAAATCAACTTGTTGTCCCGTCTTTCTCCCTCCAATTGGCAATACGATGGGACCGGCTACGTTCCAGGCAGTGCTGCTATCTGTGAGTGTTTAGCGAACTACGTCGACTCTTGTTACAAAACAGGACATCACCGCACGTTATTTGCTGTTCGTCATACCGAAATATGAGAGCCAATCACCCGGCAATTGGGTTTGATCGACGCTGCGGGCTGCGCCGCACTGGGGCCATTTGATGGCCCGCAGCGAACGGGTTAATCAGTAAAGACAGGAGTTAGGACTCTTATAGGAGTTAACCCAAGAATGTGCTAATGCAATGTGTCACACAGTTTTGTTGGGCAGCATGTTATTCAGTAATATAAATTTGTTACTCATATGAAAATTAATGTGGCACACTTTCAAACTGTTGTTGCAATGTGGCTGTAGGTATAACTCTTTGAATTTCAGACCACAGAATAAGGGTTTAAGCCATTGTGATTGGACAAAGGTTTGGACTAACAGTGGGGTGAAAATGATCAATCTTTGGCCTAGGTGTGCATCAGGCTGGCAAAGTAGTCTGGACTGCTTTCATATCATCGTTAAAGGTGATAATAATTGTAGACTATGTGTGTTTAAGTGTGCTGACATTTAATGATCCCAGTAGGTGAAAACTTAAGACATTCAAGTTCTACCCTCATCACTTGGTAATGATCACTTACATTCACGACAGTCCTGGAATAGCACATCCTTTGTATTAAAGTTATAAGTATTTTCATCCGGACAATTTTGAACTTTACTTCGATTAGTCCAGATTAATGAAGGTTTCTGTGTTTCAAGAAATTACAAAAATTGGGAACCCACACCTCTCACTGCTTACACCTACCCAAAAATGTTTCTTGACATAGAGAAAAGGATAATTATGGCGTGAGTCATCAACAAATTGAGTCACAATGTTTTACAGTTTTGTAAAATTAAACTCACTTTAACGTGTAGTTTACACTAACATAGAAAATTGACGATGTTGACAAAAAAATGCATTGCTTATATAAACTTAAGTCTTGATTATAAAAGACGGTTACTAACAAAAATTACAAAAATTTCAATAAGATTTACAGAAACAGAATTAAAATAGTGATTTGGCATTACCATGTGTTCCTAGTAGTTTGTAGAACCTGTACTCCAGATGTAACTGAGGGGCTTTGGACTTCATTGGTTCCTGCAACAACACAACATCGTTACCATGGTAACGTAATTACAGAAAATCACACAAACTCGAGAAATTACAAGTATACAACAAAATTGACACTCAAGAACACCAACAAACAGTAAGGTGAATTATCTTAGGTAGCTAATAAACAGTTTTAGCATATATAATTCTAATGTAGGTAAGGGGTTTTTTTTATTGGATATCCTGCCACTTTGATGTCAATTATAATAACTGGGTGTCGTCTAAAATGTTTCATTATTATCACGGTGGTTCTGTTCATAGTGCAATAGACAAGAAATTGAAAACAGCAATCTCCCATTGTTGGCACTAATTATTATGCAGTCAATTTTGTGCTATATTAATTATTTTGCTATGTTTTACACATACATTTAGCCAAATAGTTATACATTGGAATCTTTATAACACATTTTTCAAACAAATAACCTTTGGTCAAGAGATATTTGATTCAATTTTACCCTTAATCAGATGTTATAGGCCTAGCAAACCTCTAATTATAAGTTCTAAGCTTGCAAGGGTAATTTGTCTTATAATTAAACTAATACACTGTACGGATCAAAATTATATTATAACAGCCTACTTTGCTTATTATCAATCCATTTTTAGATACAATACTATCGTTAATTGCAATTGCAGTAGGATAGAGGAAATGTCTTACAAAAGAAGTTGGTTAGAATTATATCTTATGAACCCCTACAGGAACACTGTAAACCTCTGTTCATTCAGCTACATATTCCAACAGTGATTAACATTTATTTATTTGATGACTCTATGTAGTGTATTCTAAAAAGTCCCAGCTTAATAAAAAAAATTCTAATGTTCATAATACAAGGAATACAAACGTTGCTACCATAGATTTTTTTAGACTGTCTAAAACTCTTAAAAGCCACATTGTAATCTAACTAAAAATATACAACAAGCTAATAAATTTCAAATTCAAATTCAAATATATTTATTTAGGATATTACAAACATGGCCTCGCCAAGTTTACAAAACTTGTCGGCGAGGACCAATAGATTCAAAAAAAATTACAAACAAAGTTTACAGATTTTTCTCTTTTTCTTTTGTTTTGTTTTCTAGGTACAATGAATTATGAAAACTAGTTCTAAGGCGGTTCGTGGCAGGCACTTATTAATAACAAGAGTGTTTTGGCAGCTAAACTTAATTCTAAATGTGTTAAAAAGAAGTGTAACGAATAAACAATAAATAAAAGGTAGGCTAATGAAAGGAAAGCTCATATAACCAACAGCATTCACCTAGATTGCAATCTTTTGTTGTCTTTGGATTTGTGAGTTTATGTCGTGTGGTGGTGGTAGTGGAGCGAGTGAGTGTCGAGAGAAAAAAAGAGTCGCTTGACAAGCTTGAGTCTTGTTTGTTCGTTTGTTGGCTGAACATTTAGTACGAAAATCCTGAAAATACTTTTAAATCTAAATTCTACGGATAGCTTTCTATTCTCTATATGATTTTTTTTTTAATGCCTGGTATTATTTTTTAAGTAGAGTAAGCAAATTGGACAAAGTAGGGCATGCTGTTGGATTTTGTTGGTTATGGAGTTTAATCACTTCAATTATTAATTTCATTTCCAAACAAAGTCAAACTTGATTTGAAGTCTTATTTGTTCCATATGAGAGACCTGTTATCAAGGTTGTACAGTATTAACAGCAATCAATATTAGGCCCTACCCAAAAATAAATGGCGAACTAAAAAATATTTACAAAACTGTTAATGAGCTGTTCTTGCCAATTTTAAGACATAATTTAGTCAAATAATTACATTAACGCCAACAAGGTACCAAAGGAAGTGATAATTCAGTCAGTGACACCACAGTATTTGCCCAGAACCAACAACCAGTCGTAAACACTTCCAAGTGACAAATTACGCTTCATGTCTTACATAATGTTAACTGTTCAGTTGGAGCACACTGTTGTACCATTCAACACATTTTCATATAAAAAAAAATTCATCTTTACCTTAGCCTATCTCTAGCCTATTAACTTAGATTTTGAGGCCTAATTAAAATCTAGATTTTGATCTGTTTTGAAACCAAACTACTGTATCATTAATAAACATGTTAAGTCATAGTTTACTGTCTGATTGTGTCAATTAACTATACCAAACAACAAAAGTGTAGCAAGATTTAAACATTATCAGAAGTTAAATCAAATAAAGCTTCAAAGTGTGGGTTCAATTTTTAATTTAAATATTTCTAAGAAGCAAAAGATTTTAATAAAGTGTAATATACATTTTAAATATTTAAAACTCTTGGAATCTTGGCAATGCAGTCTAGGTCGCAAATATAAATCTTCTACTATTTTCCAAACATTTTATACTGAATTCTTGGTCTATTTTACTTAGATATAGAACGTTTTCCTGGTTCTATTTATTTGATTTACCTTTGGTTTATTGTTTAAAGAACAATAATTTGAATGTGAACAAAAAATAAGAGAATATAAGTTAGTTATTTACAACCATACAGTTTGGTTTGAAGCTCTAGTTTTTTTGTCATTGTAAAATAATACAATTTCTACTAGTACAAAAGGGTAATACACAGTAAAACAACATTAACTATACACATTTAACTCATTCAAAAAAAAAAAAAAAAAAATAGAAATTTTTAAAACTAGCTCAGCCTAGTAGCTGAAGATATACAGAGAATCAACCAGTATGCTTACACTATTTTCACTTTAGTGTGAGATACACCCATGTGTTTTAAATTTACCAACAGCTGGGTTAGACCTTAGAAATGAGAAAATTGACTAAAAACCGTAGGTTATAACAATCAAGGCCCTCTAAGAGGGTCAAGGTAGAGGAAGTAGAAGGAGTTAAGAGTGGTGGGCTCAAGGTCGGCCACCAGCTTCAAAATAACTCATCCTGATGTTGTAGAACAGTCCCAATCTTGTTATTATTTCAAACTAAGCCAGTTTGAATGAAAAGAATCATAGAATCTGATGATAATAACAAATCAATGTGACCAAAGTTGTGGAAAGTATATTCACTAAAATATTCTAATATTGCAGTCCTCTATGGTAATCTAATCAATATCCACCTAGAGAATATGATAAGCGTAGCTGTCCTAGTAAGACCTAGACCCAGGACCAATATTTTTCTTTGTTTTGATGTACTCAAAAAACAAAACCACCATCTGTTTAAATTGAGTAAAAGTTATCTGTAATTTTGTCTCAACCATTTTGTAGAGCATAAAAAAGAAATAGGCTAGTTTAGTATTTGAAGATCGGTTACTAACTATCATAACTATGAGATGGAAATCTATATACAGTAATAAGCTTGTAATCTTTGTTGTATACTTACACAATTAGCACTTTTAATGGTCTTTGTAAAAATAATAAAATTGTAATGGAATCGAGTGGTCTTAGCACGAACAACTTGTTTCTAGGTTTGTGTATACCCTACAATGTGACTACAGAAATTGTTCATGTTCGAATAAACAATTATAAAACCGATCCTCTAATAAAAAGTTGAGAAACATGAGTCGAGATAGGCTGAGAACGACAGCTGACTACTTATTAAGGAAAAGTTTGATAAAGTCAGAGCAGTGACAGCTGCTGAACGCTTAGTCATGCCTCTCATTCACCACTTGACCAGCGCCACACAGCCGCTCTAATTGGCTACCAAACAATGTGCTTACCATGGCAAACACACAACTTTGTCTAATCTAATCTATAAATTCACAAACACTGGATAATCTATAAATTCACCGTCAACTGTCTGTCGGTAATAGCTATGAAGCTTGGTTTTTATTAGAAAAAAAACCTAGATAGAGCCGATTTCACTGATGTTATGTTATAATTTCTCCATTTACACGTTAAATTCAAGATGCAAACTGTATGCTGTATTTTTATATGATTTTTTAGCATTAAATACAGTATTACTAATTATGTAATTTAGTGATTCCGATCCAAGCTTTTATTATTAGATGAGATGGTGTGGATTTACACAGTTTAGAATAATTTTAACAAAGCCTAGTTATTCTAGTTATTTTTTTTTATAGGCTTAAAAGTTATTTTTGCATTTTTAATATTTTATTAATGTTAACTTACACTTTTACAACTAAAATATTATCAAATCTAGGACAGATTCTGTACCCTGTTGCGACTATTGCTAAAACCACAGATCATTGCTAGGTTTGGACCAGGCCCTTAAACAATGATGGCATAGAATAGTAATCACATATAGTTATTCTTTGACCAACTGTTACAGAACATATTAGTGTATGAATCACTGTTGTTTCAGCCATGGCCTATCCCCAAGAACGCAGAGGTACACCACTGGCCAATGTACCAGGAGGTCCTCCAGCAGGTCAGAGACTGGCAAACCAGACAATCCCTCACCAACAGCCAGCAGGACCAGCACCACCACAGCCACAGGTATGAAAGGCCATCAAACAACTCAGGTCCAGCCAGGATCTTTGTCTAAATTCTAAAACTCTTTCAGTGGCAACCTGCTCTTTCCACAGGGGTGTTCGAATTATCCACTCTTATTTCCTTGCCCATGGTTCCCCTCAAGGTCTGCTTTTCCTTCTTCATTCCTGAGGGATCCCTGCAGCATATAGTTGATGTGTTTCTTGTGCCAGGATAGATGCATTCTTTCCCATCCAGCTTATCCTGCCATTCTAATAAAAATCCATTAAACCAAGGATCTGTTCAAATTTTTTTTAAGACTGATCTATATACTAGACAGTAATTGAAGTGAAGAATGCCTGCTCTAGTTTATGAAACATATAAACAAACTTGTTAGAAATGTACGTATCTGTATGCGATTACATTAACCCACAAGCATATACGATGGTGGTTGTGACCCTCCAATAAGTGGTGCAGATATACTTATCATTGTTAAAGAATAAGAATAAGACATTTGTACATTTTACTACACAAAATTTTAAAAACTTCACTTATTACCAACTCTTCTAATGACAGTTAAAGCCTTTAGACAATACTGATATGTAGTATGTTGTAGGTTCAGGTTCCCCCGGA